CTCTAAAGAATAGGGCATATAAACTCAAAATCACTTTATTTTTTCCATCTGTAAATGTATAATACTAGTGTTGACTTCTTAAAAGTCTAATTCCCAGCAACAAATAATGTATGTACACACTTGCAATTTCTGACTGATTAGAGCGCCCTCATGTGTGTCTTTGTTGTAATATTTTAGACATCTAAAAAAGTATTAATCTCAGCAGCACTATAAGTATGTCTTTATTTTCCCATATATAATAGTTCCAAGTATCACTCAGTAATCTAGAGTGTGATAATCCTAATACATCTCATAACTTTTCATATGCCAAATTTTATTCTAAAGTAATGAAGTTATTATTGTTATGGTTTAAATTTTAATGAATGAAAGGGTTTTTCCTTTAAAGCTCCTAAGTTTTTCATTATAATATTATTTTATTATCATTCCTGGAAAGAAATATGTAGCCATTTAAGTTGTTAATTATATGTGATAACCTGTCAATATCATTTAAGGAGTGGATAACAGATCAAAGGGCCAATTGTATCTAAATGTTTCTAAATAAAAATCTGTCTAAATCATTGCAGAAAGATTTTTTCCTATTTAAAAAATACAATATTGGAAGGATCCAAATGAAAACCTCATTTTTTTGAAAACTACATAAAATTAAAAAATCTCAAATCCAATCATATTTTAAATGGCATTTATCCAACCAATATTTCAGAGGGTCCACACTATGTGCCAGAAATGAGATGTCAAATTGAAGGAAACCAAAGTCACTAAAGTAAAGCCAAAAAGCACTAGAGTTTTTTTCCTCCTATAAAATAACTTAGTAATAACTGCCTCATTCAAGAGAGTTGCTACAAAAAGCTAATAATATAACATATGTAATCACATTTTCTAAAGAGAGAAGTGTTGTTGAAATGTGTGCCAGAGAAACCTTGGTGATTCCAAGGACATCTTTTATGGGTTGTTTTGTATGTGGAAAATACTTGAATGTGAGAGCCCAGTGTTTTTTTTAATAAAAATTTTCTTCAAATTTTCATGATGAAGAAAAAGTGAGAAGAATCATGTCTCCTAAGAAGTCTGAACTATTGTTTTCTTCACTGATTAGGGTTTGGGGTTGTTTTGCTTTTTATCAGATGCAAATTAAATCTCTGCCATAAGATTTGTATTTGTATTGCCAAGGACAGGAATCATTTTCATTGATCTATGACAGAAAGAGCAATTGCTTTATCAATTGTCTACAGGTTAACTACTACCTCTATGAAGTTGTAAAGTAGTCTAGTCATGAGAAAGTCAAATGAAGATGCTCACCCCTACATAATCAGATAATCCCCAGAGAGTCTGCTAAATTACATCCTGCATTCTATTGAAAGGAGGCAAGTAATCCCTTTTGCTTATTTTCAATTTTTGGATATTTTTTTTCGTAATACTCTTTACCCTAGACTAGAAAACTTTACTTTGTTTTTCTTTGATTTGGTCCTTCTTCCTTCATAGAATGCTTTTTCCTCTGTTCATGACCAGTTATATCTCGTTCTTTCTTTAAATCTGGGTCCCAGCTTGTTTACTTTGAACACATTTTTGTTTTTTCCTTCTTTCACTCTTATGTGATGTGGCTGATCCTCAGTTCATTCACTAAACATTTGAAGAGGAGTTAATTTTTTATTTAGGGGGAAAGTGTGATGGTATTATTTTTGTTAAATGATCTTTATTGGTTTGGCATATGTATATTCTAAGTTTTGCTTTAACTAAACTAGCATAAGTGCTATGTATTTACAGTCCCTGACTTTCTGTCTCCTTGTTTTATTGATTACTAAGAAAATGGTATTAAAATCCCTGATTATAATTGTGGATTTGTCTATTTTGGGGGTTCTATTAATATTTACATCGACTATTTCTAAGCTTTCTTATATATCTATACTAATAAAATAGAAATATGTAAATTGACCATCACTTTGCAACACCCACAACCAATCAGGAGCATGCAAATTAACCCAACAAAGATGGTGGTAGCCCCGCCCCCCCTTCCAGGCCTCTGGGCATCACCCCTCAGAGCCTCCTTGCTGCGCTCCACACCTGTCAACCATCCTCACAGCCTCCCTGTGCCCAGCCCCCGGCCTCAGAGGCAACCCTCTGGTACCTGAGGTCATCACTCCCCATGTCTGGCATCTCCCTCTACCCCACCCCTGCCCCGCTGCTCTGGTAAACAAAACCCTAGGGTTGGACGCACCTGTGAGCTCACTCAGTGCACAGTTAGCATGCTCTGGGAGCCCCAGGCCAGCCAAGGGGTGATGGTGGCAGCTGTGATGGCAGAGGCAGGCGGCTCAGCTTTGTTTTGAATAGATGAAAGAGGCCACCTACATAGTAACCCAAATTATCAGATCTCCCTCCTCCCAATGAAGGGGTCCAGTTGCATCCCACTTTCACAATGGGAAAGTGAAATGCACTAGCGCACCCAACCTCTCTGGTCCTCCCCGCCTGCCTTGCTCCCCACCTCTTCCCCTTTGCGCCTCCTGCACAGAGGAACTCTGCAGAGGAGGAGGGCAGGAGGGCGAGGAGGAAGCAGTACAGGGCTTGACACCTCTGCCTCTGCTGCACAGGCTGCTGGAGTGAGCCCACCGCATGCCAGCAGCCAGGGGAAGAAAGACCTACTCTTGCATGCATCTTCATGCATCAGGCTTCTAGTATATATATAAAAGGCTAATGTGCAAAGTATCCCCTTGGGAGCTCAACCGGGAGACCGGGAGTTCAATTGCTCACTATGATATGCACTGGCCACCAAGGGGCAGCATGGAATGAAGGCAGGCCCTGGCCAACAGCTAAGTGCATAAATGTTTAGGATTGCAATTTCCTTTTGACAATGACCCCTTTATCATGAAATAAGCCTCTTATACATAATAAAAAATAAATAAATAAAAAAGCTGTATGGATAGGTACATAGGATATCCATTATTCACTATTCGCTTTTGATATGTTAAATAATTTGCAAAATACGTTTAAAAATAGTAGGGAGGCCATCATCAAACTTTAAAAGGTTGGAAACAATTGAACAATAGGCTATATGGAAACATGGAAATTTAAACTGGGATAAGAAAACAGAACTATAGGGTATGCAGTAGGGGATTTTGAAGAGTAGAAGATAGCAGGAAGGGATGCTCTTGATACGTGAGAGAAAAGAAAGGGAAATTGGAAGTAGGAAAAGGCTCCTAACCCTGGGTGGGAGGACACCAAAACCATATATTCCCTTTCCCACAGGGCCTAGAATTGTGTTTGATTTCAGGAAATTTTGGAAGGTGAAAACCCTGGCTTTTGCCAGGGTAGTAGCATCATTGCTCCATTCTGGCTAGTCTAGTATAGCCAGTCTTACCTCTTGACTTAACTGCTGTCATTACCAACCAATCAATGCCCAGCACACAGAGTGCCTATGGCCTTAAGGGTTGGGCCAAAAGAACCTGGCAATTTGGTAAATCTTTACCATGATTAATTTACCTAATCATCATCCATAGGCAATTCAGGGTAGGGTTTCTCATCATAATCTATGCTTTTTGGCTTCTTAAATTCCCCCAAGCTGGGTTACATGAAGCAGGGCCTTTTAACATTGGGGGACTATCAGGGAGTCCCTTGGTTCCAACCAACTTTGACTGCACTGTAGCAACACCTTTGTTTCAACAACATCAATATCTGCCACATTCATCCCATTTCTCAATAACCATCTGAAGACTTCAACTCTGCTGAGATAAGTTTCTTCCTTGACTCTTCCCTCTGCCTCGCTATGATTTAAATACAGTCTCAAAGTGAATAACTGAGGTTAAACAGTGGATTCAGTTTTACTCTGACTGACACAGGAGAAAATAAGGCACAAACAATTTCACGGTTCAGGGAGCCTCAAAAAATCACACACCAGCAACCTAACTTGGGCAAAATTGTTGTAAATAGTTCTAAATCGGGTAGTAACCAATACAAAGACCAAGTATTACTAGTTCCACTCGATACTCAATTCACAAAGTGTGTATAGGAATGTAAATTTATCCTTTCCAGCGAGGAAAGACTAAACCCCTTGCCCAAGTTAACTTAGCCCACATGGCATAGAATATTGAATTTCAAGAACCGTGGGAAGACATTCCAGAGTTATTTACTTGACGTGAATCTCTATAAACTAAAGGTATAAAAAGTTCGGGGTTTGAGAATGGAAAGGCTATTATTGGTGGTTGTGGAGGGTGGAGGAAATGCATGGCATAGAATTATCTTTTAAGATATATTCTGGCCGGGGAACAAGAGGCAGGGTTTTTTCGTTTCTTTTGCTTACTTTCCCCCCCAACCCCCGAATAATCTTTTTTAGAACAGATTTACGTGAACAGAATTATAGTGAAGATTGGAGTTCCCTCTACCCCCGCACAAACTTTCAAAATCTCGCTTTTATTTGCACCCTCCCCCCCACTTCCCTGGCTTCCGCGCCGCCTCGGGTTTGGCGGGGCCGAGCTCCCACAGTGCACCGTGGGGCCGGTAACAAAGCCCGGCTCCGGGGAAGCTTCGCCCCCGCCCGCCACAACTAGGTCAGGAGTGACGCGACCGAAACCCCCGGCCGCGCTCGCCCCGCCCCGAGCAGCGCACATTCCCCGCCGACGTGGCTCCTCCGGCTCCCGGGGCGCGCGCGGGGCGGGCTCGTCAGGCGGCGGGCGGCCTCCGGAGGGGAGGCGCCTGGGGCGGGACGGTCCCCGGCTTCAGACAGGCCCCGCCTCCGAGGGCCGGTTCTCGAAGCCAAAACACTTTGACTCTTAAAAACGCCCACATCTCAGAGGCGCCTGGCGGGTCACACACACATATAGAACACATGCACATACGTGTCGCCGGTTGTGTCTAACGCACAAGCCTGGGCGTCTTCTGAGGCGGAGCCCCCGCCTCTCCACAGCCGGCGGCCCGGCGGCCCCACGCCCCCCGGGCACGCTGGGCGCAGCCCTTCCCGCCCCGCCCCCGGCGCGTGCGCGCAGCGGCGGGCGCGTGCGCGTGCGGACGTCCGGGGACGCGCGCGCCGCCGCCGCCGCCGCTGCCGCCGCCGAGCTGGGCCGGAGTCGCGGGTCGCGGGGCTGGAAGGTGATGGCCCGGACGGAGGGCCGTGAGGCCGCGGCTCCCGCTCTTCCTGCCATCGCCGCCGGCGCCTCTCTCTGCTCATCGTCATGAGGTCAGGCCTCGGGGAAGCGGGCGGCGGCGGCGGGTGGGCTCTCGGGAGAGGAACTGAGACGCTCGAAGCTCGAACGTGGGTGGAAGATTCTGTCCTGAGGATTCCGAAAGAGTTGTTTTGCGCTGACTTTTCTTTTTCCTTCCCTTTCTTGCTCTTGCATCGAGGGAAGTTGGGAGGGTTCTATGTTTCTCTTTATGAAAAAGGCGCTAACACTGTCGCGCCCGATGTTGGGCTTCAGAGGTTTGAGGAAATAAATAGCACGCGTGGCGTCGGAGCATCGGTGGAAGCTTTGAGCGAAAGGAACTAAAAAGCCCAACCTCCGTACAGTAACTGAAAAATATATATATAAGTATATTCGAACCTACTAATGAGATAGAATGACCTGCCGTTCCCTAGCTGCTTCCTACAGACAAGGCAGGTTGGGATTCCCACGCTGGCCACTCAGGGTCTTTTCCTGTCTTCTTGCGTGAGCCGCCGCCCTCCCCCAACACACACACACCCCGATGGTGGCATTTTTAAGGGGCAGGCTGTGTAACTGTCCTTATTCAGGCTAGAGTTGTCTGGTAATTTACATGGCGACTCCCCACGTCTTCCTATTTTAAAGGTATTTGGGTAATATTTGGGTATTTATTGGAAACTTTTTTATTAGCTTTGGCAAAGCTCTTTCAACATAAGACAAACTTATAGGTCACCAGTGAAATGTTTATTAGTTCTCCATGGTGTTTAATGAGGCATTAAGATTTAATTTTTCTTCCTAGCCTTTCCAAGCATTAGCAAACGATTCTTATGAATGTAGTGTCTACATTGGAGATGAAAATGCTCCAGGTGAGCAGAGTAAATGCACTGAAGTATTAAAATATGAATACTAGTGTTCACATCAGTCACATTGACTGTGCACCCATACTTTATGTTGCTGGTTCTTTATTAGAGAACTGGAGGCATCTGAAGCTCGACTTCTTTGGTAGCAGATGTTCCCTAAAAGGTAGTTTGTGTAAAGCAGCAGAGCCTCGTTATTAACAGAGGAGTCTAGTAACAAGTTAATAACCCAACCTGCGCGGCTCAGTCCTTGAGTGTTAACCTATGAACTAAGAGGTGAAGGTTGGATTCCAGGTCTGGGCACATACATGCCTGTGTTGTAGGCTTGATCCCCAGCGTGGAGTATGCAGGAGACAGCCAATCCATGATTCTCTCTCTCATCATTGTTGTTTCTCCCTCTCCCTTCCTCTCTGAAATCAATAAATAAAAAATAAAAATTTTCAAAACAAGTAATAATCTGAGAATAATTCATCTGTGATTATCAGCCTCTAACTGTTCACTTAAAATATTCTCTGCTTTTTTATTTTTAGAAGACGGAGACCTGAAGCAAAGAAAAACGTATTCAAGGGTCATGCAAGCCGACTGTAGCCAATTGCAAAGAGCTGCAGGCAGTGAGGCTGCCTCAGCCTCCCAGAGTGTCCACACAAGATTGACAGAAGGTTCTGGTCTTCATTCTGGAGATGTGCATATCCAGGTTGACTCCACACCTAAAGAAGGTGCTGAAAATCTAAACTCCAGAAGTACAAGGTCAGGTGGCCATAGCTGCACCCAGGGATGTGTACAGAGTCATGCACAGAATCAATTCCGTAACCAAGCAAGGCAGCCTGGTGATACTTCTATGGAGTCTGGAGATCATGGCAGTAGCTCCTACTCCGAATTCCGATATCTCTTCAAGTGGCTGCAACAGAGTCTTCCATTTATTTTGATTCTGAGTGTCAAACTTGTTGTGCAGCATATAACAGGTAGGGTGTAATAAAATATTGAATTGTTTCATGCTAAATTCAGTAAATTTATTTTTGGTAATCTACTTTAACCTATGTAATTTTGTTAACTGATTTTCTGCGAGCTTTTAAAATTGAAAACGTTTCCTTTAAGTTCACGTCATTGTGTTAGCTTTTTGATTTTTCTTGCAATTAACTGGAACTTATTATCTAACAGGAATTTCTCTTGGAATTGGACTGCTTACAACTTTTATATATGCAGACAACAGTATTGTAAATCAGGTTTTTCTAAGAGTAAGTATAATAAACTAAAAAAAAACCTCTCTGTAGATCATGTACTCATTTTTTAGAGAAATAAGAATTAAGATAGTTTTTTTTGTTAAATTTAGACACATATATTATGACAACTATAATATATTAAGGTTTTTTTTATCTAAACTAGAGGCCTGGTGCATGAATTCATGCACAGGTAGGGTCCCTCAGCCTCCCCAGCAATCGGTCCGATTGGGGACCATCTTGCCCAGTCTCGGGGTAGGGTCATGGGAGGTTGGTCGGCCACAGGAGGTTGGCTGTGGGAGTGCACTGATCACCAGGGGGCAGCTCCTGCGTTGAGCGTCTGCCCCCTGGTGGTCAGTGTGCATTATAGCTACCAGTCTTAAAGGTTGCTTAGGCTTTTATATACATAGATGATCTAGCATACATGATCTGTCCTTCAGCTGAATTAGTTCACCTTATTTTCTTTGTAAGTTGGGTACCTGATAGAGAAAGAAAAACTGGATAGGATTAAAAAGTTTAGAATGAATTATTTGATTTGTCAATTGCCTTCATGTTTTATGAGTTAGTTTAACCACAATACATAATATAATCATCATTAAAAATTTTAGCTGTCGCACTGTCAAATTTAAAGTAAAGAAAATGTACATTGAATAAATGGGAATTGAACAATTTAGGTCTCTCTTATTTAAAGAAAATTAAACCCAAGTAGTTTTTACATAACATCCTATATAATAAAAGCCTCTCAATATGCTAAGTGTCCCACTGTTCATTAGACTGTTCAACCAAGTCACTATGATGTGCACTGACCACCAGGGGGTAGACAATCTGACTAGTAGGTTAGCTTGCTGCTGGGGTCCAGACACATCCTAGAGTACTCCCATGGTCCCTCCCCAGCCCTGACTGTGCACTGGTGGGTCCCAGATTATGAGATGGCACAGGCCAGGCTGAGGGGCCCCACCAGTGCACATATCTGTGCACTCTGTTGGTTTTGGGCCCATTCCTACAGACCAGGCCAAAGGACCCCACCGGTGCACAAATCCGTGCACTGGGCCTCTAGTAAGTTATAAAAGAGTTCTATTCATATAAACTATTGGAAAAACTAGGACCAGTTTATAAAATCTCACCTTTAAGCAATTTTAAACGGCAATATATTTGTAAGGATCATGCATTCTGACCTGGAAATTTGTAGTTAGAACCTATGAAACCATAAAAATTATTTTGCCGAAGCCAGTTTGGCTCAGTTAGAGCATTGGCCTGTGGACCAAAGGGTCCCAGATTTGATTCTGGTCACGGGCATGCAGCTTGGTTGCAGGCACATCCCTGGTGGGGGGTGTGCAGGAGGCAGCTGACCCATGTTTCTCTCTCATCAATGTTTCTAACTTTCAGCCCCTCTCCCTTCCTCTCTAAAAAAATCAATAAAATATTTTTTAAAAAATAAAAATAAATTATTAAATTCTTATTGAATTTCTCAGAATTTAAAAAATATATTTATAAGCCCTGGTTACTTAAATACACTTGTTAACATTTTGTTTTGTCTGGGAGGCTTGCTGGGTCCTTTTTGTTGCTTGTAGATTTGGCTTCTTTCAAACATAGGTAATGTTTTTATACAAGTGAAGAAACTTGTTATTTTAAAAATGTATTTCACTGAGTTCTATTTTGTTCACTAAAGATATATAGTGTGATGTACAGTTTAACAAATATTCTATATTTTTAATGTTTAATCTGTTAAAACATTCTAAGTTAATAAGTTAGTCATTAAAATAAAAGTTAATGATATTTAAATCTTTGGCATAATCCAAAGTAATAAATTCTAAAATTGTTTTATTTTTCAGGAAAGGTGCTCAAAGATTCAGTGTGCTTGGTTACTGGTATTCTTAGCAGGATCTTCTGCTCTTTTATATTACACCTTTCATTCTCAGTCACTTTATCTCAGGTAATTAGAGATCCAAATATACAATCATATTTTTATGTAACATATTCCTTAGCACTCTGCATATATTTTACTTGCATATACTTACTGTTATAGTTCAATTTTTACCCTCTCCTTCAAAGATTGAAAGCTTCAAGTGACTTTTTCAGAATTGTGTACCCACTGTCTTGATTCCTAGCAGGCGTTTGATAAATATTTTTGATACTTAAATTTTTACTTATATCATCAATAGTTATTAGTATCATTTAGTCAATATTTGTGGTCTGTTTTTGTTTTTTTATATATTTCTTACAAATAAAAACGTATACATTTAAGTTGTACGTGATGTTTTGATTTATGTGTACATTGTGTAATAAGAACATGATCTTTGTAGAAGTTAAGAGAAGACTTGCTAAAGGACAGTAGTTGTTAAGTTTCCATCTTAGATGTAAGTGTTCTAAAGTTTTGGCTCTAATCAGATAATTAAAAGTCCTGGTTTTCAGTCCTGTTGGAGAGGTGTGGGAAATTTCAGATACAGTTTGTTAGTGGACCCAATAATACTGATTGGCCTGGGTGGTATATAGAGGGGGGAAATCAAGGATGACACCTAGGATTTTTGTTGAAGCAACTGGCTGGATGATAGTAGCTTTAGTGGGCTTGGGAAGACAGGGAAAGTAACTGGTTTTGAGGGGGAAAATCAATCATTTGTTTTAAATATATTGAGAGGTCACATGGAACTATTAAATGATTTCAAATATGTATGTCAGGAGCTCAGAGTAGAGGTTAGGGCTATATATTTTGGTGCATATGATTGATATTTAAAAACCAAAACTAACCAGGAAAAATATAGTCAGAGAAGAGGACTCAGGACTGGACATGCCCACAATAAGAGGAGGAGCAGCAAAGAAAACCAGGAAGAAGCCAATCATCAGTCACAAATGAGAACTAGGGAGTGTAGTGTTAGAAGTCCAGGAAGAAAATAATTCAGGGGGGTAAATGGGAAAAGGGACAGGACCTTTGAATGTGACAAGGTGGAGGTAGTCGATGATCTGTACAAAAGCAATTAAGTGGAAAGGAGGGAATGGAATGCAGATTGGAGTTGGTTGAGAAAAGGACATATTTAATATTAGTGAATTTTTTTTAGATTATAGGCTAGAAAGGTATCAACCATGACAAGTTAGGAAGGCTGTTCTTTTATACTATCGAGGAAAGATGCAAAATTAATACATTTTAAAAGTCTATAGTAAGCAAAATGTTACTGTTTACGTGAACTCTTGCCAATTTTATATTTTTCACACATCAAAATAAATATTCAGTAGCAAATTTAAAAAAATCATGAATACTTTACCTTTGTATGTTGCTCTGATAAGTTTTGATGTTTTTCTCTTGATAGCTTAATTTTTTTAAATCCTACTTTGGACTATTCGAGCTTCTGGGAAGTACTTTGGATTGTTGGAATTACAGACTTCATCCTGAAATTCCTCTGCATGAGCTTAAAATGCCTTGTTTTATTGGTGCCTTCTTTCATCATACCTTTTAAATCCAAGGTAAGAAACTAACATGTTTTGTTGATACAATGTTAATAAACCACTCTAATGCTATTTAGTCTAAATCTAATTTTAATTATATTATCTTAGACTGGCCATCATTTGCTCAAAGACTTAAACCAAATATTGATCTAGGGAAAAAATCAGAATTATATTTGCTTCAGCATCATCTAAAAATTACTTCCCATATCATATATGGAAAAAATATTATTTAGATAACTATTTGTTCTCCTTCCTTTTTAGGGTTACTGGTACATGCTTTTAGAAGAATTCTGTCAGTATTACCGAACATTTGTTCCCTTACCAGTTTGGTTTCGTTACCTTATAAGCTATGGGGAGTTTGGTAATATAACTAGGATTCTTGGAATATTGCTGGCTTTACTCTACCTCATACTAAAAGTAGGTAACATTCTTAATATTGTCATATGATTCATATAATGATTACAGATTAATTTACCATTGCTCATGAACTATTTTACAGTTTATCTTTTAGTTTATATAATAGATTCTGTATCTAGTTAGAAATGGAATAATGGAAATACAGTCTTTATATTAATCCAGTGGTACAGATTTTATTTGGGGAATAGATTTCCACATAGCATGGAGCAGGGGTCTTCAAACTATGGCCCTCGGGCCACATGCGGCCCGCAGAGGAGTCTGATCCGGCCCGCCAGGTTTTTTGGGCAGTGAGCGCAGCCGAGGTGTTACAGTAGGAATTAGTAGTTCATATAGTCCAGCCCTCCAGCTCTCTGAGGGACCGTGATCTGGCCCCCACTTTAAAAAGTTTGAGGACCCCTGGATTATAGACATGGGAAAGAGAGAGTAAGTAGACTAGAACATACCCATCTCCAACAGCAGCATCTATCCTACACATAATTCTGAAACTAGAGAATCTAGTATATTTTAATTGTTTAATGGCCGTTTCTTCTATGTCTGTTCCCCTCAGCTTAAATCACTTTATGAAACTTTAATATCTAAATCTGTTAAAAACATGTGAGTGAGGTAAAATTGCCTTGTCTTTGACATAGTTTACTTTATCTATATATATAAATGCCTAAGCAACCTTTATGACTGATTGACTGGGACGACCGGTCCACCAGTCACTATGATGCACACTGACCACCAAAGGGCTTACGCTCAACGCAGGAGCTGCCCCGGTGGTCACTGTGCTCCCACAGTGGGAGTGCTGCTTAGCCTCTCCCACCTCCACAGCAGAGCTATTGAGTGGCTGCGGTGGCAGCAGCAGGCGCAGTGAAGCACAGCTCAGGGTCCTCCCCAGCCACCTGCTGCTTAGTACACTGCTATTTCCCTGGCACATCAAAAGTCTGCAGTTAATAAGTCTCCAGAGAACACTCAAGAGTAACCAGGACGAGCCTGATATTGCCACTGGGCTCCTGGAACTCTGCCTTGGGCATTGAAATCAATTGCCTTGGAGCTACAGAGGAAGGCAGCAATCGGAGTAAAAGTCAGAGAGATGGCTCTGAAGGAAGGGGTGTGGGCAACAGAGCAGCCCCAGTCCCGAAGACCCTTAACTTTATATTCACCTCGGAGTGTCTCTTATCTGGCTCCGAGTAGTGGAAAGCCTCCAGCAGGGCCCAAGGCATCCACTGGGGTCCACCAGGCCAGCAAGGCATGACCCTGGTTGAAGAAGGGACACTTGCAAATATTTTTCAGGAAGTGCGGGGAGGGGAACAGACTCCCCACATGACTTCCCAGTGGCTCAAGGGGATATGGGAATTCCCCAGGCACTTGGGTGTGGGCTCCAGATTTCCTTTCAATGTGCACGAATCTGTGCACTGGGGGCCACTAGTACTGTGTTTCCCCGAAAATAAGACCTAGCGCATGGAAAGATAAGACATCCCCTGAAAATAAGACCTAGCGCAACTTTGGGAGAAAAAATTAATATAAGACACTGGCTTATTTTCGGGGAAACGGGGTATATATACATTTTTAAAAATATACTTTTATTAATTTTAGAGGGAGAGGTAGAAACATCAGTGATGAGAATCATTGATTGACTGCCTCCTGCAAGCCCTCAACTGGGATTGAGCCCACAAACCAGCATATGCCCTTGACTGGAATCGAACCTGGGACCCTTCAGTCTGCAGGCTGACAATCTATCCACTGAGCTAAACCAGCCAGGGCTAACTTTATATTTGTGTTGACCAAATTGTACCTCTAGGTATTCAGATTTCCTTTTTTTTTTGTTTTTTTTTGTTAAGAGTTGGTTGAAATCTATAAATTGAGTAAAATATTTTATAATTGGACTTTAAATATATTTAGATTGAAATGATTACTTGTGATATGCAATATTTGATATTGTGGCACTTTAGCTTTGATCTCGGTTTAGCAGATAGGGCTCTTGGAATTAATGAATAATCTCTTCATTTCCTTTTTCAGCTTTTGGAATTTTTTGACCATCTAAGAAATTTCAGACAGGTTTTGAGAAAATTTTTTACACGACCAGTAAGTACATTTTAATTGTTAAAGAAAAAACACTTTTAGCCTTTCTTCATTACAAAAAAAAAAAAAAGGTAATTCACCTATTTTACAAATATGGGTTTCATTACAGTTTTAAAAACTTTAGTACTTTAGCACATAGGGTTATGAGAATGATTTAGGAGTTTTATCTATGATCAGTTTCTTGACTTTCATATTAACGTTACCAAGTGCTTATATATTTGAATGTGCTTGCCCTTTCTAATCATTTGACATTCTTAAGGGTTTATAAACATTCCTTTAAAAATTTTGTCACGGCCAAAACCGATTTGGCTCAGTGGTAGAGCATCGGTCTGTGAACTGGAAGGTCCCGGGTTTGATTCCGGTCAAGGGCATGTACATTGGTTGCGGGCACATCCACGGTAGGGGGTGTGCAAGAGGCAGCTGGTCGATGTTTCTCTCTCATCGACGTTTCTAGCTCTCTATCTATCTCCCTCTCTGTAAGAAATCAAAATATATTTTAAAAAAAGAAAAAAGAAAAAATCAGACTGAGAATCAAAGTTCCTTTAAAAAAAAATCTTGTCACAAACTTTTATTCCTTTTCCTGTTTTAAATCTATAATGATGGCTTTGTGTATTTCCATTAACTCTTTATTCAATTTCTGTGAAGGCATTGTAATTTACTATGTATATGAAAAAACTCATTAACAAAATTTTCTTACTGGAAAAATTTTCCCATCAAAACTCAACTCCATATGCACAAACTAGAGGCCCGGTGCATGACATTTGTGCAGTGGGGGGTGGTGGAGGGAGAGGTGTCTCAGCCTGGCCTCCACCCCACCCAGTCTGGGATCCCTTGGGGGATGTCCACATTCCTCTTGTAGCCTAGGACCCCTTGCTCCTTAGAACTCATTGCAGCTTCTGGCCAAGTAGTGCTCCCCCTGCACTGAGTGTCTGCCCCTGGTGGTCAGCACGCAACACAGCAACGGGTCGTCCCACTGTTAGGTCGATTTGCATATTAAGCTTTTTTTATATAGGGTAAATTCAAGGCATAGAATTTAACAATAAGTTGACACTCCAGCCTGACCAATGTGGCTCAGTGGTTCTACTGATGTTACAAATTTCAGACAAAGATTGTCATCGGCTCATTTTCTACTTAGTAGCCTTTGTGGTCAACAGGTTTCAGAGTTTGATCCTCAGTTTTGCAGTGCATTAAGTACTTACTTTGTCAGGACTCAGGGGACCTTACTAAAAGAATGCCAACATAATGATAAATGCTGAAATACAAGAAAGAGGATGTTATCTCCAAAGTGGGCTATACCAACTGGTCCACTAAGATATATTCTTCCTTTAAGACATAGTAATATAGTAATAAGTTTTTTTGCATACTATTCAAACTTCATTATTTTTTTTATTATTGTTTTTTAATATATTTTATTGATTTTTTGCAGAGAGGAAGAGAGAGGGATAGAGAGTTAGAAATATCGATGAGAGAACACCATCTATCAGCTGCCTCTTGCATGCCCCGTAATGGGGATGTGCCCCCAATCCAGGTACATGCCCTTGACCGGAATCGAACCCGGAACTTTTCAGTCCACAGACCGACGCTCTATCCATTGAGCCAAACCAGTTTCGGCTCTCTTGATTTTGTTAGCCCTCGATGTTGAGTACAAGTTTAGTTCATAACTTCAGACCATGCTTTGCTCTCATCATGATATGGTGTTCTTACTTCCCCTTAGTCACCTTTTCCCCATCATTTCTACAGAAAGCTGATGTTATTTTAACATTCTGTCACATCTAGTTAATAACTAAATTCTCCTGGATTTGGTGAGGAATTAAGAACTTAGATCAGTCAAAACCGGTTTGGCTCAATGGATAGAGCATCAGCCTGCAGACTGAAGGGTCCTGGGTTCGATTCCGGTCAAGGGCATGTACCTTGGTTGCGGGCACATCCACAGTCGGGGGCAAGCAAGATGACTCCTCAATGTTTCTAACTATGTCTCTCCTTTCCTCTCTGTAAAAAAACAATAAAATATGTTTAAAAAAAAAAAAAAGATCTTAGATCAGAAAGATGTTTAGTTCATTAGAACAGTGTTTTTCAACCTTTTTTGGGCAAAGGCACACTTGTTTCATGAAAAAAATCACGAGGCACACCACCATTAGAAAATGTTAAAAAATTTAACTCTGTGCCTATATTGACTATATATAAAGTAATTCTCTTGAATAGGAATCAAATAAACACAAAGAACGTATTTTATAATTACTTTATTATGAAATATTAAGTAAACAAAATAGTGAAAAATTATAAAATTCTTGTCTTGTCTGCACCTACGGCACACCAGGCAACATCTCGCGGCACACTAGTGTGCCGCGGAACAGCGGTTGAAAAACGCTGCATTAGAAGAAAAGGAAATTCAAAGAATTGCATTTTTATTCAGACAGTTAATTTTGAACATTTAACTCTATCAAAGTGATATTTTGCAATTATAGTTCTTTTATAAAATGTTTTTTCCTAGTACTAAATGCTCTGATTTATGTGATAATTAAGGATAATAATTAAAATTATTTTTAGATATAGTGGCAACACATTGTTCAGTCGTTCCCCAACCTTCTTCACATTGAACTCACCTGGAGAACTTACAAAAATTTCAGAGTCCTGTTGTCACAGCCTAGTATGTCTGGACCTATTGAGACAGTCTCCAGTCTGGAGCACAGAAATCTGTTTTTTAAAGCAGTCTTTCCACATGAGTTGCATTCAGTCAGCCAAGCTCTGGATTGGTTTTTTAGAACCACTGCCATAGATAATAAATGGGCCCAATTTGGCAATATGAGGTCATCTAATACATTAACATATAGGTTTTATAATAGCTCTATTTCAGACTGCTTAGTTTCTTACACCAGTTGAATTATGTTGAATTTGAAGCCTATAATGAGAAATCCAAGTGATTCTAAAATTTTCAAGTTCCTATTATGTATTTAATTTCACCCTGATGAGTCCATCAAAATGTGGTTCTGCATATGTAGTTCAGCTTTGAAACGTTTGTATCCTTTGGGAGAGTTTTCAAGTACCTAGTTCCAGGGATATTTGAAAAGTAAAGCACTACTTGTATATTGGAAGTACAGGAAAGAAACTGGTAAATGAAAATAACTTATTATCTTTATAGACTTATGGAGTGGCTGCCAGCAAGAGACAGTGTTCAGATGTGGATGATATTTGTTCAATATGTCAAGCTGAATTTCAAAAGCCAATTCTTCTCATCTGTCAGGTAATTATATTTTTAAGCAACCTAAATACAACACTTCACTATGACTTGTAAGGCATATTTATATTAGTTATAAGGAAAAAGAAACTACAACGTTTAGCAGAAAGTAGCATTCAAGGCAATATTGGTAATTTCTTACTTGTGATTACGGATTTGGTAGGTTAGCTAAATCTTATCTATGTTCTAATGATTTTTATGCAGAGGAATGTCTGGAGAAAAAGAATTCAAATGGCAAATTGTCTATCAATGTGATTTAAAAAAAAAAAAAAAGGCTATTTGTAATAATGGATTTTAGTCTTTTAGAATAATGCCAGCATTTGTTATTGGATTGTGGAAGGCCCTTTCCTATACTTTATGGCAGTTACTCTCAAAGACTTATTAAGCCATTAAGTCACTATACTTGATCTTAAAGTTATCACCTAGAGATAGCTTATATTTAATTAAAAGTGATTAAAGGTTAGTATAGTCAAAGGAATAGTAGCTCTTACCAGTAACACCATTCTTTTATTCTGGAATGTCATACTTTCTCATTTGTAAAGTAAAGGGATTAGTGCTCTCCAAAATCCCTTTCAGCTCTAAAGAGTATGATTGTCTATAATGAGATGAATTTAAAATAAAAATGTTATCAAAATTAAAATATAGTTTTTAATTTCCTTTCAGCATATATTTTGTGAAGAGTGCATTACCTTATGGTTTAACAGAGAGAAAACATGTCCGCTGTGCAGAACTGTGATTTTAGACCATATAAACAGATGGAAAGATGGAGCCACTTCATCAGACTTCCAAATATATTAAGTTGTATAAACTGTTAAAGCCACAAAAACACTTAGTTGTTATAGTCCAGTTTATCAAGATTGTTCAACCTAATGCATATGAGACATTTATTCTATCCTAATCATTTGACAGATGATTGCAGTGTTAAATTATGTTTTCTTGTTAATGTTACCAAAAAAGCAATTGGATAACTAGAACTATAGAGAAACTATAAGAACTATAGAGAAACTCAGGTATTTTTTCCTGACATTGTTTTCAAAATAAATAATATTTTTAATATTTTAAGATACACTTTATCTGAAAGTAGAATTTTCTTTTGTATTGACTTCTATATTTCCAATTATAAAAATTCTTAAAATTTTCATAAAAGTTGTATTTTTAAATGAACATTCTAAATGCTATATTTTACCTGTAACAGATTTTGTAAGTGAAGATTTACTGAGGATGATATATTTTAATATTGTTGTATTCTCTATAGTACGATTAGCAATCAATGAGAATACATGATTTAAATGTATTGTTTGTTGACCTTATATATACAATCCTGCCATCGGTTTTAATGTTTGTGATCTTGCTTTTTGTATAGTGCCATGGACTATCTTGAAGTACCTATTAAAATAATTCACATAGCTACAAGTAGCTGGCTTCACTGATGATTTGAATAGTATAACATACAAGACCAACTCAAATCTTAGAAAACAGTTCCCCTTATAGTTTTCTCCAGAAGTGTTTTGGAATCTGATGCTTGAATCACCATCAGTTAGGAGATTAAAGCCTGCATTCAGAGGCAACCAGATGCTTTGGATTGTGTGGTTTGTTTGCCTCTTAAATGTTTGTGTAGTATGGTGGAAAAAGGAATGGGGCACTATCTCTCTTAAAACCTCTCAGGGGGAACCAAGTTCTAATACCAGAAGTCTGAAGTGGTAGTTATATTTAAGAGTACAAGGCCTCTGCCCATTTTCTCTACTACCATTTATCAGTATGAACACAAGGAAGAGATAGAATTAGGAGGTAGAGGTAGAAAACAAATTTGCAGGGTTAAGAGTAAACCAACACAGAGATTAACAAGGATAGTGACCGACCAGGTACAGGTTAAGTCACTTTTATGCCTGTATGACTACCCTAATTTGCAAAAAAAAAAATTTCAGAAAGCCTGTAACTTTTTCCTCAGGTAGATATTGCCATGTTATAAGTATACCTATTTATATTCATTCAGTGATTATATATTTAACTATTATCTCCTTTGAGAACACTGCAAATATTGAAACAAGCTTACTGACTTTGTGGTGAAGCTATTATTTAGGTACTATACAGCAAGGGATGTGTGAGAAAGGCAATTTGGAATTAGAATTTGAGTGTGAAAACAGAAAAGCTGACTTCTTATTAAAAACACAAGAATAGTATATCTTGCTACATGAGTTACTTCAACCCTATTACGTTACCCATTTACCCTATGGCTATATGGATAACTTTGTTTTTTAATATGATTTAATTACAAAGGAGGTCCCCAGTAGACAGTGGGGCTTTTGTTGTTTGTTGTTTTTTTTAACAAACAAGAAAGCATTTCACATCTGAATTTAAAAGGGGGGAAATGTCATAGTTGACCTATCACATCCACTAAAGATACTGATGAACTGGAAACATTTCTCTATTTCTATTCCCTCACCTCAAAAACAGAGGAATAGAGATTTTTAAAAAACATGCATTTTGTGAATTCAGATCACCCCTTCCGAAAAATTGTTTCATTAGCACTAAGAGTCACTACAGCCTAGCCAGCATGGCTTAGTGGTTGAGTGTCAACCTTAAATCAGGAGGTCACTGTTTAATTCCCAATCAGTTTTCAGTCTCGATCCCCAGTAGGGGATGTGAAGGAGTCAGCCAATCAATGATTCTCTCCCATTTATGTTTCTCTCTGTCTCTCTTCCTCTCTATGAAATCAATAAAAACATTTTTAAAAAGAGTCACTACGTATGTTTTATTAAAGAGTCATGTCAATTTGAGAACTTCTATAAAGAAATCATCTTGGCAAGTGTGATAGAATTGCCTCATAAATAAAAAGTGATTTAGCTCTAGCTGGTTTGCTCAGTGGATGGTGCATCAGCCTGCAGACTAAAAGGTCCTAGGTTCAATTCCAGTCAAGGGCACAGGCCCGGGTTGTGGCTCAATTCCCAGTCTGGGGAGTGCAGGAGGCAGCCGATCAATAATTCTCATCACTGATGTTTTTCTCTCTCTCTTCCTCTGAAATAAAAAAATTATAAAAAAGTGACATACAAAACTATCCATGTATACTAGATATATTACAGCGGTTAAAAATATATTTGTGCACATTATCTTGTATAGATGCATCAAATAATCAAATGTAGTTGACAAGTGTAGCTGAACTAACTGCTGACAGTTAGCATAAAGTCTTCCTAATGTTTTTATGTAAAAGTAGCTTTTACCTACCTTCACATGAACTTTTTAAGAAATAAGCAACCAATTCAACTTGGAAAAACATATTAGTTACAGATCTGTGAAACACTAGTACTAAAATTTGTATGTATTTAAATAGCTTCAACTTCTCAGCAGAAAGTTTTTAACTGTCATTCCTGACATATGTAGTATAAGAGTTATCCTTGAACAATATAAAGACTGGGGGCACCAACAATCCTTCCAGTCAAAATCCACATACAACTTCTGACTCTACAGCTGACCCTTCACATCATGGATACAGAGGACCAAATGTATTTATTGAAAAAAATTCTGCATGTAAGTGGACACGTGCAGTTCAAACCCATATTGTTCAAGGGTCAACTGTAATTTATTAAATATAATAACCTGAACATATCTGGCATGTTAATGAAAAAAATTATTGAAACCATCTGTGCGCCTGATAGTTATTTCTCCTATCTAAGGATAATAAAAAAAAAATCACTTCTATATTCTGTTGATTCAAATTTGCATTTAATTTCTATTTACATTCATTCATTCTGAAATCAAATACTTAATACAGTAAACTAAATACAAGATGAAAAGCAGAAAAGGTGTTACCCTCATAGCACTCCTAATAAGGCAGCTGAAGAATTTATTTACTCTGATAGATGCAAAGCCAACTTGGAAAAAAAATAATAGTTTAAAGAGCAAACACAGATGAACCCATCTTTCAGCTATTACTTCAGATAATCCACTGAGATAATACTTGTGCTAGTGGTAAATTAAGAATCACACAATAAAAGTTTAATATTAATCAGCAACAGACTACAGGACACGGTGTGACAAATACTTTTATGATTGGTTTTTCCAGCTTGCCTAGTGTCTACGCCTATGAAAAAAGGTAAATGTTTGGACACTGATGATATTTGAGAAATGAACCATTTTCAAAGTCTCGAAATCCATTTTTCATAAATTCAACATTTTTCATGGGAATTATCTTAGATCAAGCCCTTGTAAGCTAGGAATCATATGACTAAGTTACCAAAATAGTTAGGTCCTATATTAAATATAAAAATCCAAGGCTCAGTATATTAACACTATTGAAGATACATCTTCTTTATAATCATTTATTACTTAAAGAATGTTGAATTTATGGAGCATCGTACATGCATTATTCCCCCACCCCACCCTCATTATCTTCTATCTCAAAAAACAAAAACAAAAAAAACCCACAAAACAGCATGGAAAAATCCTTCTTGAAGGATTCAAAGTAGTTAAGACCATAAAGGGAAAAGAATGTAATTTTCTAAAAAATCTGGTTCAAGTTCAATAATCAATACTTTACATTGTTAATCACAGCAGGTTTATAAATCCCAGTTTATTCTGTAATGCTACAAACCTTATAAAATCAGAATTAGTAAACATCAGTTCTCAGTGACTATTTGAATTAAAAAACAGCATGTATATAAAATTAAAAAAATATCCTGTAATAGCTGACTTTAAAGAAAATAATCAGGTGATGAAACAAAAAAAGCACTTAATCTCTTTTATACACTTACCTGGAAGAATCATAAAGAACCCGCTTAAAAATTCAAGACTAGTAATATTGACATCATATATTTTAAACTATGCTTGGATTTTTACAAATAAATATAGGGTAAGCCATATTGCATAGGTGTGTGCTTTCCGTCTGTGACACTAATGTGGCACTTGACATATTTTCACAGTCTTAGCAGGGATATCCTTTTAATGAAACAATTTCTCAATAAACCTGCCACAGCATAGGAAATTAATTTTCCTATATGTTAACTTGGAAAATTGTATTTGTATAGATGGTAGATGTGCAATTAATGTTTTTTATGCAGAAAAGTTGCAGGTTGCCACTATTGCTGGCAATACTAATTATGAAAATGGTTTTAACTATGGGGTGTTTATAGCCAGCCTATCACAGTGCATATGTTAGTAGCAAGTAGGACTGAGGAGGAGTATTTTGGTGTAAAGATTTTCCTGGAATTTGGTCAGGCAGTCAACACTACAGTTAGTAAATATATTTGAAAACAAATATCAAAGTATTATAAGCCATACACTGTCTGAAATAGAGTCTCTACATATCACCACAGCTTTTTGGGATCTGTTTTTCCAGATATCATAAACTGTCAGAGAATATCTGCACTTTAAATACAATTTCTGCCTTATCATTATTTGCATCTTCTAATTTATTAGCTACAGTTATGAAGTACTCAGTAAGTTACTGCAATAATGGGAAAGGGGGGATTACAGGGAGTGATTTAAAAACCAACAAACAGCTTTCTATTCAAATATGAACTATATCAATTCTTTCATTTATTGCCACAATTGAAAAAGTATATTTCCAATCATTTTTTCATGGATCTGTTTTGGCTTAATGCCATTAAGCAAAATCATCTCATCTCACTTGAATTGTCATTTAAATAAGCAAAGCTTTGCTCTTTTCTAACTGAATTCAACATGCATAAAGAATTTTATGGCTTGGATCCTATGGCTCAAAAAGGTTTGGAGAACATAGCAAGCAGCATCTATTTAAAAAAGAATCATAGGGTTGCAAAGTATTACAAATTGAATTTGCACACTCAGACTAAGACATTATAAAAGACAAAAAAAGGGTGATAAGACTCAACTGCAACTGCATGATCATCTATAATACCAGTATGCACTGAAATATATTTTTATAAAGCTCTGCAGATATTAAACCCTTTCACCAGCTAAAATCATGGAAATGCTCTCTTTAAGGCAGGAAGTATTTAAAAAGGGTAAAGTTACCTTTATTTTCATTCTTTGTACCAGTAAATCACTTATGTATATTTTGTTACAATTTCAAAAACATAGTGTCTTGTTAGCATATTTCCTAAAGTAAGCCACTAAGTTTTCTTATTCACCGTGGAAGACATTCATCACAAGGCCATCAAATATTTTTACAATAAAAAAAATGTAGCCCCAGTATAGGAGAAAATAACCTTTTTCCTTTGAAAACGGTTGAGGGGAAAAATGTAAGGAGGGTAGACAACAAAAACAGTAAAAAGTAAAACTTACAACCTTACCAATTTGCTGTGAAGAGATTAGACAGAGAGTGGACGATGGCAACACCCTCTTCCCTGAATCTCCCCATTTTCCTCACTTTGTCGCCCTCAGTACACATTTTATCCTGACTCTCTTCTGACCTCCTTCAGCCATAGGCTGAAACATTTGGTGTCTTGAACCAAACACTGGTATAAGAACAGGTGGTAATATGTTTCCAAGTGCAACGCAGGCCCAGGACAAGGATGACATGTAGGACATACAACGTACGCCCGTTCCAAGGCTTCCAGTTAAGCTTAGCTCATAACAGTACTGCCAATAGAATTAATTTTTTTCCTCTAGTATTACAGATAGGTGTTGCAGCTGGATTACTGAAAATAAACCTCAGGTCCACCCCAATCCCTCAAACGAGCCACAGCTGTGGTTAACAATGATTCATTTGCATTTTTATTATTTCACCAAGAGAAGAAACAGAACTTGTCTAGCTTTCTTCACACCAACCAAAAATTTCGGATTTGAAGTTTGGGATGTTTTCCATGATGAGCTGAATCAAAAGTCTATTTGAAAAATATATATTTATATAAAAAAAAAGATTCGAGTTGTTTGCACATAAAACATCAATTGATAAGTTTGTCTTTGAGTCCATGTTGCTGGAAAGTTTGACCAAGCTTGCATGCTAATTTGTCCTTGGTTGCAAGTATGACAGGCAATTTCGTACTTTGCCTAGTGAAAGGATAACCCTCCTTGACACAAATCAGAACTCAACAGTGATTCAAAAGCAACATCCTATCCTTAATACTGTCAGTTTTGAGCCATCAACGTGAAAATCCTTGATAATGTTGAGAAGATGTTGCTAGGAATCAATTAATTGATGTGCCTCGGAGTTCTGCAATACTATTTTGCTTAAATTATTTTTTTTGCACCATTGATTGATTTTTAAAAATCCAGGTTTATTTTTCCTCTGTCCAAAGTGTTCTATGTAACGACATTGACTCTTCGAGACTGTCATTTTCAGTCTTCTTGTTTCACCCTGAAGGATAATCATAAATCATCTTCCCACCTTTTTTTGCCTTAAATTCGTTAAAAGCATTGCTTTGTCATAGATTCATACGCAGGTGCTCTGGTCGTTTGGAGATCATGGGAAAAGCTTGTTTTTTGTATGGCCCAGAGTTCGGCTGTCGTATTGGAAGTGGGGCTGAAGCTTCCCCACTCATTGTCACATCCATCTGCTCTATCCCACTTGTTTCCATTGGGTATTCCACCGGCGTCTGAGGATTTGCTGTGCTGGCTGAAGCACCTCTTCCCCAGAAATCCCCAGGAGAAAATTTGACTGGGCTTTAAGACAAGGAAGAGCTATCATTCATTTGTCTTACAGATCTCAACAACAACAAAATTTCCTTTGCATTAAAAGGGACATTTATTTTCACTTAATTTTATTTTTGTGTGGATTAGCACAAAGGCAAAAGTTGAATTATCTCCCCTAGACTAATGGCCAGTTTCCCAACTAGTCTCTTCATCTTTATAATTGTCCCAGTAAAACACTCAATGATACTTAGTGTTTTTGTTTTTCCAAAACAACACATTTTACTTCCCCACTTAAAACAGCTTCCCATTGCATTTAAAATAAAATGCTTCTCTAAGACTTTGCCATTTCTACTCCTCGCTCACCACACTTCAGGAACACTGAACTCCTTTCATTTCCGAAAAAGGCCATGTTTTTCCCTCTCTTAAGGCTTTTGCACAAGCTGTTCTTCTACCGCTACACCTTGTACTTTTAATTTTTGTATGGCTGGCACTTTATCTTCATTCTTAGACTTACTTCACCAGGGAGACCTTTCTCTCACCACCATGAGCACATGCCCCCTTGTTATTCTTTGCTCTCTACCAACAGATTCTTCCCCACCCCCATATGGCACTTGGTACTACTAGAAATTACATATTTCTTGTATTTCCTTCTTTGCTTACTGTGACTCCCTCTTACTAAACTAGAAACTTTATCAAGGATAATTCCTGTGTTAATCATGTGCCCCAGCATGCAGCAGAACTCCTGGCACACAAGAGATGTTAAATGAATGGGTAAAGAGGACAGCTGCTTACTTTTAGGAGGGAAGGTATATAGCTTATGATCAGAGATTAGTACAGTCTAGTCACTTACAATATAAGAAGGTACAGATAGATGCTGTGCATATATCAATCAAAGAGAATATGAGGCTAGATCTTTCATTGATGTAACTTGGTATAAATTTCGTTAAGCAATGCTCTTCTAGCTAAGAAAGAAAAGGAAGAAAGAAAAGAAAAGGAAAGGAAAGGAAAGGAAAGGAAAGGAAAGGAAAGGAAAGGAAAGGAAAGGAGAGGAGAGGAGAGGAGAGGAGAGGAGAGGAGAGGAGAGGAGAGAGAGGAGAAGAGAGGAAGAGAAGAGAAGAGAAGAGAAGAGAAAGAAAGAGAAAGAAGAGAGAAAGAAAAGAGAGCAGAAAAAAAAAGAGAGAAAGCAAAAAGAGGAAATAAAAAAGAAAGACAGACCATCAAAAGAATGAAGCCGCCGCCGGACAGGGCGTGATTGAGGGAGTGAGGGGGTTTAGTGCTTTCCAGTAGAGGAGAGAGAGAGAGAGAGAGAGAGAGAGAGAGAGAGAGAAAGAGAAAGAAAGAAAGAGAGAGAAAGAAAATGAAAGGAAAGAAAAAAAAAGAAAAAGAGAAAAAAAGAAAATGAAAATGAAAGGAAAGAAAGAAAAAGAAAAAGAGAAAAAAAGGAAAGGAAAGGAAAGCAAAATAAGGAAGGAAGGAAGGAAGGAAGGAGAAAATAACAAAGTCTGAATACCTGACAGGTGTTCGTGGGCTGCCAATAAATCTTCGCGGTGATCGGATTTTTGGTTCAAAGGAAAACTTTTCTTTCACACTTTCAAGTACAGATGGAGCCACATATGTAAAACCCTGAAAGATAGTAGTAGTGGACTACAGAAGGTCATTTGTCATACACAGCAAGAAAATGTGATAGTTCAGTCTCTAACACACCAACACAACAATTATGCATCCCTAAAATCATTAATCTATATATTCTCCAATCACTTCAATCTCATTTCAGCCATTTAAAGAAGCTGTTAACTTCTTTCCAGCTATTTCTTGAGGCATAGACCTCAAGAAAGAATTCTTATTGAGCCCCATATGCCAGCAAACAAATTTCAATCTATTGAAAAGAGTAGAACAAAACAGGTAAATGTAAGCTCCATATTAAGATGTAAATACCGCCGAAATCGGTTTGGCTCAGTGGATTCTGCGTCAGCCTGTGGACTGAAAGTTCCCAGGTTTGATTCTGGTCACAGGCATGTACATTGTGGGCACATCCCCAGTAGGGGGTGTGCAGGAGGCAGCTGGTCAATGTTTCTAACTCTCTATGCCCCTCTCTTCCTCTCTGTAAAAAATCAATAAAATATATATTTTTTAAAAAAGATGTAAATAACAAGAAAAATGCAAAGAAAATTCTAGTGTTTCTAGCCACATGCATATAAGCACCTAAGATTATCATCCTCCAAAACAGTTTCTCATTATTAGGCCAAAATAAAAATAGAATTATCTAACTTAGCACATGTGATTTTTCTGGTTTCACCCTAGTGTCAGACAGATTTGCTAGTTTCTTGATGAATTAGTGTCAGCATTGTGAAAACTTTAAATTGTAATTGGCAATATGCAGTTTTATTAGCTTTAGTTCTTTCTTACATCTTTTTTTTTTTTAATATATTTTATTGAGTTTTTACAGAGAGGAAGAGAGAGAGATAGAAAGCCAGAAACATCGATGAGAGAGAAACATCGATTAGCTGCCTCTTGCATACCCCCCACTGGGGATGTGCCCACAACCAATATACATGCCCTTGACCGGAATTGAACCCGGGATCTCTCAGCCACAGGCCGACGCTCTATCCCCTGAGCCAAACCGGTTTCGGCCTTTCTTAGATCTTGCTATTAAGCTATCAACTGTCATTTCTCTTGCTGTCAGTATTCATCTCTTTAACAACCAGACCTCTTCTATTTATTATTCCAGTCACTATGAATCAGCATTATAAGTTACAAATAAAAAAATTTTAATAAAGTCTGGATGAGGTCCTAAAGTGTGAGGTGCAATTCTCTAGAGTAGGGGTGTCGAACTCAATCAGAGAAGGGGCCAAAATCTAAAATCCAGCCTAAATCGCGGGCCGAATGGTTTACTGAACAGTCATAAACTGTCATTGTGATGGAAACGCAGCGGAGTGCAGTGATGACAGCGCGGTTCGGGCCACATTGCAAGGCCTGGTGGGACGGATTTGGCCCGCGGGCCTTGTGTTTGACACATGTGCTCTAGAGCATACTTTCTGATAGCCGCGTATGGACATGTTCTAGTGAGCTAAAGCTGTAACTACCAAGAGGACTAAGCTGTGCCTTGATCATCTTTGAATTTCCTTTAATTCTATAACAGGAACTTAAATACTTATTGAACTGAAGTTGCTACAACTCCAATCTCTAGATAAGTGACTGTAACTATTACTTATTAATTCTTTAGGAGAGCTACTTTAGCCTGGCCAGTATAGGTTGAGCATAGGAACCAGAGGTCATGGTTCAATTCCCTATCAGGACACATACCCAGGGGGTGTGCAGGAGGCAGTCAAACAATGATGTTTCTCTCTCATCTGTTTCTATCTCTCAGTCTCTCACCCTCTCTAAAAATAAATAATAATGAATGGAAAAAATATTCTCTAGTGAAGATTAACAACAACAACAAAAAAGAGTAATTTTGAACATACACTATTTTTGAACTCCATGCTACTTTTAGAACTTAACCTCCACCACAAAATGTACATTACTTTGTGTTAATACTGTGAGCATGAGCAGTATAAAAAAAAAAAAAAAAAAAAAAAAAAAAAAAAGGCTGGATAGTGACAAATTCAGTGAACTTGGAAACAAACAGGGAAAAACCAACTTCCAAATAATTGCTTTTCCCATATTCCGTTCCCTCTAACAATGGTCCAAAATCAAATGACAAAAGATAATGATAAAAGAGGTAGATGCTCATGTTACACTTTAGTAATAAAATAAACATAAGCATATACGATACTTAGGCAAAATAATATGCAATGATGGGTTATCAAATATAAATTATCATTTTTATTTATCAAAATCTAAAAGCTTTGCTTTTCTATCTGAGACAAGGTATAAATCAATACAGATACTTTATCAATAAAGATTAATCTATTAACTATCATGTATGAACCTATATACTTTGATGTCAAATAGTCACAATTAACAGGTTAAAAATCCCCTTTAGACTTATGTTAAGAATACCAAAAGTCTGTTTCAGGAATAAAATAGTTACAATGAGCTCTTTTCCTACTTCTATGGCTGTGTCGCTTTCAGTTGATCTGCTGAGCCAAATATCATCTTAAGTCAGTGGCCTATCCAAAAAAAGAATCAGACACTCTGAAAACCGACCATAAGTTCCTACTGTAATTGCTAAAATAGAATGTTGGATTATGAGAATCAATTTTCTAACATCATTAAGTTATTAAATTAAGGGGATAACTTTAAAAAATAGCATCTCAGCCGAGATCGGTTTGGCTCAGTGGATAGAGCGTCGCCTTGGGGACTGAAGGGTCCCGGGTTCGATTCTGGTCAAGGGCATGTACCTTGGTTGTGGGCACATCCCCAGTGTGGGGTGTGCAAGAGGCAGCTGATCGATAACTCTCTCTTATCGATGTTTCTAACTCTCTCTCTTCCTTCCTCTCTGTACAAAATCAATAAAATATATTTTTTTAAAAAATAGCATCTCAGGCTGGGACCACTTTGGCTCAATGGATAGAGCGTCGGCTTGGGGACTGAAGGGACCCGGGTTCGATTCCGGTCAAGGGCATGTACCTTGGTTGCGAGCATATCCCCAGTAGGGGATGTGCAAGAGGCAGCTGATCGATGACTCTCTCTCATTGATGTTTTTAACTATCTCTCTCCCTCTCTGTATAAAAATCAATAAAATATATATTTTTTAAAAATAGCATGTCAGGTTATCCACATGAAACGCAAAGCAAGCAAAATGAATTTTCTTATTGAAAAGGCCCATCCTCATATTTAAGTTTCCTATATCTGTCACTTACCAGAAAGACCTGGTTGGCACTTTCACTGAGAGTCGAGTCATCTGGGCTGTCAACAGGTGTCTGACGTGTAAACTTGGAATCAAACTGACTCACATCCTCTTCCGATTGCTTTATAAAAAAAATGATTAGAAAATGGTGAGTCTATATTATACATATCAAATGCATTACAGCCTTCTTTCTGATACACCAGAGTATGTGGTTGTGTCTTTTAAAAGAGCAAAAGTCTTAAATAATTCTCAAAAGCTGAACACCAATTCCAAAAAATGCAATGGATTGAAACACAAATATGTGTGTTTTTTAAAAATATGTTTTTATTGATTTCAGAGAGGAAGGAAGGAGAGAAAGATAGAAACATCAATGATGAGAGAGAATCATTGTACTGTACACCCCACAGTGGAGATTGAACCCACAACCCAAGCATGTGCCCTTGCAGGATTTGAACCATGACCTCTTGATTCATAGGTCAACACTCAACCACTGAGCCTCTCAAGCAGGGTGAAACATAATTACGTTCAAAGACATGAGTTCATTATTGCACTACATTTAAAAATCACATAATTCATTGGTCAATTTGGAAGATGTTAGGAAACTAATTATTTTGAAAAAGGCCACATATCCTGCTTTTCCTGTATGAACTGTAGCTTAGGTAATCAAGCAACTGATGTAAAGAATTTCTTCTTCTGGAAGAATCCCAGTAAAGAATGAATAAATAATAAGTAAAGAATGAATAACAATATTATAATAAAACAATTTTACAAACCCCTAATGAAATCCTGGAACCATTGACACTGGAACCATTGGCACTATTGACACTTTGGGCCTGCATTCTTATAGAGGACTGTCCTGGGCATTGTAGAATATTTGGGAGGAACAAACAAATGACAGCATAGGTAAACACCTGTACTTACTTGCTGCCTCTGACAACCACATCAAAACTCCCAACAAAAAGACAAAACAAATATCATCCAGAAGCATGGGAAACCTGGCTGAGTGGGAGTTCTACAACTAGAAGGAAAGAAAAAAGCGCACTGAGACTGGCAGCGGGTGCAGAGGTGCGGAAGTGCAGAGGTATGGAGGCGGGCTGGCAACTGGATGCGCCGTTTCTGTTTTGTTTTGTTTTTTCAATCAGGAGGGAGATACAAGCTTCCAACTGCTCTTAACTCCAGTTCCAGGTGAGACTCCGAGGACCCAGACTCGTACAGGGAGAAACTGGACTGTCTGGCACGGGGCAAGAATGCAAGGGTGGCTTTGTCTCAGAGGTGCTCGCAGTGATCATTGTTCCTGCATGGAGCCGAGGGACACAGAGACCTGGGGACCGCTCTGGGGCAAGGTGGACTGGCAGCCATTGCTTTTTGCTTCACCCTGGTGATTCCCAATTTACACCACCACCCAAGCAGCTTTTGTATATGAATGGCCTGTCCCTCTTGCAAATTAAAACCTAACAAACTGCAGCTGGGTCAGAGACCTCCAAAACATCTAAAAGAAGGCCTAAGGCCCTGCAGCGGCAGCCTGCATTGCTTCATAGCTGGGCCTCATCTGGGCACTTCCAAACTCCAAACAAAGAGGAGGAATCTGCAGATCTTTCTGTAGCTCCTGCTGGGTGGCCTCAGGCAGTGGCTGACTTTGCACCTCCTTGGAGGTCCAAGAGCCAGTGTACCCAGTGGTCAGTATGAGATCATACCAGATTAACTGATTAACTCTTCATATCCATAACTGATACACTCAAGGGGCAGACTAAGCAAGCACCAAAGCTCCACTGAAACAAGTCCTGCCCCATAGGGGTATCTCCAGCACAGTAGTTCTCCCATTGTAGACACAGCTGGTCCTCACAGCCAGTTGACTTGAAGGTCAATTCCTCCCAGTGATACCAAAAATAATCAAAGCTTAACTACAACAAGACTGTGCACACAGCCCACAGAGGGGTGCACCAAGAATGTTCACCTCAGGAACTGGGGAGGCTGAGCCACTGGGCCTTAGCACACAAGGCCACTCTATCAACACAGGGAAGCAGCAAAAATTCAGAGACAAAGAAACATGTCACAAATGAAAGAAATGGAGGAAAGCAAACTACTGGACATAGAGTTCAAAACCACAGTTATGAAGTTACTCAAGAATCTTCTAGAAACCTCCAAGAAATTTAGTGAGACCCTCAATGATATGCAAAAGGACCAATCAGAAATTAAGCATACACTGACTGAAATAAAGAATAATATACAGAGATCCAAGATGGCTGCGCCCAGGTGAACACCTAGCCGCAGCCGCACACAACAATTTCAATAAAATACAACTAAAATATAAAACGGACATTGCCCAGAACTACAGGAAGGTTGACTGACTGGAAATTCTACAGCGAGAAGCAAGGAGAAAACCAGAAGGAGGCGCGGAGGAGCTGGAAAAGCCAAGGTACGGAGACGCGGAGACGCGGCGCGCGGAGAGGACGGAGCCGGAGAGGAGGGAGGCCGAGTGCCTGGCGGGCGTTCCTGAGCGGAAAGGAGAGAAAAGCTCCGACTGTGCTGGGCCCCCGACTGCTCTGATCCCCGGTTCTGGGCCAGACCCCGGGGACTCAGGCTCAGCCATAGGGAGCTGGGCTGTAAGGCGGAACCCCGGGGAGAGGCGAAAGGAGGTCCCGGAGGCGCGCACATTGCGCGCAGAGAAGGGACGGTCGGCTGTGCCGCGGGATCGCCCTGACGGGAAGGAGACTGGGGCTCCAGACTGCTCTGAACGCCACCTCCAACTCCACTTCCAACTGAACTGAACCCCAATACCGGGCTCATTGTGGGAGAGCATAGACTGTTTGGCAGCAGGCGAAAATCGAGGGCACCTTTCTCTCAGAGGCGCTGGCAGCAGCAAGCACTGAAGGACCCGCATAGGGCGGGGCTGACAGAAGCCAAAGCTGCAGGCTCCACCCTGAAACCCCGTCCCATCTGTAACTGCGAAATGCGACAACAAAATAGATCACAAACGAAAGAAATGGAGGACAAAAAGCGTCTGGATATAGAGTTCAAATCTACGCTTATAAGTTTTTTCAAGAATTTCTTAGAAAAGATGGATAAGGGCTACGAGGATATGAAAAGAGATCAACTAGAATTAATAAGGAGTCAACAAGAAATAAAGAATACATTGTCTGAAATAAAAAATATTTTACTGAGTCCTAAAAACAGAAAGGAAGATCGCAAGAATCAAGTCAAAGATTTGGAACATAAAGAGCCAGAAGACACTCCTCCACAGAAGCTAGAAGGCAAGAGAATCCAGAAAATTGAAGATAATGTAAGAAACCTCTGGGACAACTTCAAGCGAACCAACATCAGAATTATGGGGGTCCCAGAAGATGAGAGAGAGCAAGATATGGAAAACATACTGAAAGAAATAGTGACAGAAAACTTCCCCTACCTGGTGAAAGAATTAGACTTACAAGTCCAGGAAGCGCACAGAACTCCAAACAAAAGGAATCCAAAGAGGACCACACCGAGACACATCATTATTAAAATTCCAAGAGCAAAAGACAAAGAGAGAATATTAAAAGAAGCAAGAGCAAAGAAGGTAGTAACCTACAAAGGAGCACCTATACGATTGTCAGCTGACTTCTCAACAGAAACCATGCAGACCAGAAGGGAATGGCAAGAAATATTCAAGGTGATGAATAGCAAGAACCTACAGCCAAAAATAATCTACCCAGCAAAGCTATCACTCAGAATCGAAGGCCAGATAAAGAGCTTCACTAATAAAAAAAAGCTAAAGGAGTTCATCACCACCAAACCAGAATTATATGAATTGCTGAAGGGGGTTCTTTCAGAAGAGAAAGTAAACAAAGATAAAAATTATGAACAACAAATACATAACTATCAACAAGTGAATCTAAAAACCAAGGAAATTAAAAAAATCTGATGAACAATATTAACTGTTGAATATAATAGAATCAGAGGTATGGAAGGGGAGTGAACTGACGATTCTTGGGGTAAAGGGGAGAGGGGGGCGTGGGAAGAGACTGAACATAAACTGTGCACCTATGGATGAGGACAATGGGGAGAGGGGAAAGGGCAGAGGGTGGGATGGGAACCTGGTGGAGGAGAGCAATGGTGGGTGGGGGGAAAGGAACATTTGTAATAATATGAACAATAAAAACTTATTAAAAAAAAAAAAAAAAAAAAAAAAAAAAAAAAAAAAAAAAGAATAATATACAGAGATCCAACAGCAGACTAGAGGATCCCAAGAATCAAGTGAAAGCTTTGAAATACAAAGCAGCAAAAAAAAATTCAACCAGAAAAGCAGAAAGAATAAAAAAAAATATGAAGATAGTGTAAGGAGCCTCTGAGACAACCTCAAGGATACCAACATCAGAATTATGGGGGTGCCAGAAGAAGAGAGAGAGCAAGATACTGAAAAGTATCTTTGAAGAAATAATGCCAGAAAACTTCCCCCACCTGGTGAAAGAAATAGGAAGCGCAGAGAACCCCAAACAAAAGGAATCCAAAAAGGACCACACCAAGACATATCATAATTAAAATGCTAAGAGCAAAAGACAAAGAGAATTTTAAAAGCAGCAAGAGAAAAACAGTTACCTACAAGGGAGCACCCTACGATTATCAGCTGATTTCTCAACAGAAACTATGAAAGCCAGACGGGAGTGGCAAGAAATATTCAAAGTGATGAATAGCAAGAACCTACAACCAAGATTACTCTACCCAGCAAAGTTATCATTTAGAATTGATGGTCAAATAAAGAGCTTCTCAGATAAGAAAAAGCTAAAGGAGTTCATCATCACCAAACCAGTATTATATGAAATGCTGAAGGGTATTCTTTAAGAAGAGGAAAAAGAAGAAAAAGGTAAAGATAATAATGAACAACAAAGTGACAACAAGTACATAACTATCAACAAGTGAATCTAAAAATCAAGTGAATAAAAAATCTGATGAAGAGAATAAACTGATGAATGTAATAGAATCAGGGGCATAAAAAGGGAGTGGACTGACAATTCTTGGCAGGGAAGGGGGTGTGAGGGGTGCAGAAAGAGACTGAACAAAAATCTTACACCTATGGACAAGAACAGTGGGGGAAAGGGGAGGGCATGGGGTGAGGTTGAAACCAGGTGGAAGGGAGCTATGTGGAGAAAAAGAGGAACAATTGTAATAAACTGAACAATAAAGATTAAATTTAATTAAAAAAAAAAGAATATTTGGAGCATCTCTGGCTTTTATTCCTAGGTTCCAGATATTGCCATGCTGACCCTGGCTGAGAACCAGTGATGTAGACAATGATAAATGATCACTGACATCACAATAGAAATACAAATATACATATGTCTCCTGATCAAGATATACAACCTCAAAAGTTTAATCTGACCTGCATCTAAATCTAACCACCAGTTTTCAGAAATACTGGGAACAGATGAACAAGGTCAATAATACCTTTGAGTTAAAATTTAAAAAATCAAAATCTGAGGGACCCTATAGGACAAATGGTCCTGTGTTGTTTTTTCCAATAAGTCCTCAAGAGAGGAATTAAGAGGGGGGAATCTATAGATGGAAAGAAACCTAAGAGCCAGAGTAACAAAACTATACAGGCCTTGATTGAATCCTTACTGAAGCAAACCAACAGGGGGGGGAAAAAAAAAACCAACTAAAAAATTTTCAACTTTTTAATGGTGATGACAGCATGTATATGTTTAAACAAGATGACCTGACAACTTTTGAAGCTGAGCAGTTGGTACATGAGGGCTAATTATCCTGCTTATAATTATATATAGTGAAATCTTAAAGCAAGTCAACTTGTTTGCTCCAAGGACCAAATAATTATCATCATTATCCTCCTCCACCTTCATCCCAAGAATAGAAAAAGAAACCATTTTCTTTAATTCTGATGTGGTAGAAAGGCAAAAACTAACACAGTAACTCATTTACTCATAAACATATTATTATGGTTTGAATTGACCCCTGCCCCAGCCCCAACATTCATATGTTAAGTTCTAACTCTCAGTAACTCAGAATATGGCCTTATTAGGAATGAAAACCATTGCAGATGTAATTTGTTATGAAGAAGTCATACTGGAGCAGGGAGTATCCTAAATCAATATGACTGGTGTCCTTATAAAAAGGGAAAATGTGGACCCAGACCTGCACATTCTCACAAGGAGAATCCCATATGAACATGAAGACAGAGATTGAGGTGATGTCTCTACAAACCAAGGAAGCCAAAGACAGCCAGCAAACCACCAGAAGTTAGGAGAAAGGCATGGAACAGAATCTCTCTCATAGCCTTCAGAAAGAATCAACTCTGCCAATACCTCAATCTCAGATCTCTAGCCTCCAGAACTGTAACAAAATAAATTTCTATGGTTTAAGCCACCAAGTTTATGGTAGTTGGTTACTGCAATCCTAGAAAACATATTTTCCATTCTGAAGAAAAAAATTCCCAGAAAATCAAATTTAAAATAGGGCTGAATTAAGCAAAATAAGACAAAACAAAAAAGTGAGCCCTAGCCAGTTTAATTAAGTGGATAAAGCATTAGCTGACTGAAGGGTCTGGAATTCGATTCCAATCAAGGGGACATACCTCAGTTGCAAGCTCAATCCCCAGCCCTGGTACTGGTTGGGGTGCATGGGGAGGCAACCAATTGATGTGTCTCTCTCACGTCAATGTCTCTCTCTCTCTCTCCCTTCCACTCTCTCTAAAAAATCAATAGAAAAATATCCTCGACTGAGGATTAACAATAACAACAAAAAAATTGTTTCTGACGGCTCTGAGATTTTATTTTAAAAATGTGCCAGATCCCTCAAATCATATGATTTCATGTATACATACCAACAGAGGTTTAAAGGGGGGCTCCACCTTCCGAGCCAGCAATTCTTCCCAGTTAATATGTCTGAAGAATGGATGAGCCTAGAAAAAAGAGAGCAGAAAGAAGTCAAGGGAAATAAACTTCACTGGATTGACATTGCCTTCTTGAACACACTGATCACAAAATAAACAATACTTGTAAGCAACTATATACAACCTACACAAAAAATAACATTAGCATTATCTTTCCCTCCAACCCCAAGCATGCCAGTCCCTACTTGAACTTCTCCAGCATCCCCAGGACCAGCTCCCAGACGAGAAGCAGCATTTCTTTTCAGCAGCTTTAGAGAGAAGGAAAAAACACTGATGAACTTAGTCAAACTGATTATTTTTTCTTTATAGATTTTGCTTATCTATTTTGCCTTGGAAAATAAATATTGTTTGGTTAAAAAGAAAATAAAACCTTAAACAAATTTATACTTTCCCTACAAAATCTATAGACTTTTTTACTCAATATTTGTGCATGATTCTTATTCAAAATGTATATTTAATTCTATTTAAATTCTAGTAGTTAAGGCTTATGACTTCAGTGTCTATTTAAGAACCCTACCTTTTTAAGCAGGTCTCTGGCTTCTTGTGTGAGGTAGGGAGGCAAATTGAGTTTACATTTGAGGATTTTGTCAATTGTTTTCTTTCTATTCTCCCCAGTGAACGGTGGCTAAGAGTAGAAGAGAGTGAGAAAAATTAGCATGTAAAAAATAAAAATTTAAATAACAGAATTATCCATTTCCTGAATTTCTCGGTTATTCACAGAAGTCAGAAATGTATGAGGACTACTAAAGACTGTAGTTTTATTTTATTTATTTATTTTTTTAAATATATTTTATTGATTTTGTACAGAGAGGAAGGGAAAGAGATAGAGAGTTAGAAACATCGATGAGAGAGAGTCATCGATCAGCTGCCTCTTGCACACCCCCCACTGGGGATATGCCCGCAACCAAGGTACATGCCCTTGACCGGAATCGAACCCGGGTCCCTTCAGTCCCCAAGCCAACGCTCTATCCACTGAGCTAAACCGGTCCCAGCTAAAGACTATAGTTTTAAACACCAGGACAGGAGAAATAGCAATGTCCTGAAAGAAACTGAGATTCCACCATTAACTGTGAGATAATGTAATTATGTAATTTTATGCTTCACTTTCTCCATTTATAAAATAAGGGCCATATCTATTTTATATCTATTTTCAGAGGACTTCCATGACATAGATCATTTCAATGAAAATTATTCAAAAATAAAGGGACCCATATTACTTACTGCTAATAAAGCATTTTTTGTGCTAAATTTTTAAAAATAACTTCATTGGTAATATTTTCAAGGAGTAAAGGAAAGGTCTCTTGCTATAGGGATTTAATAATAAACTCAGCACAGACAATACATAACACATGCAGCTTTTAACTGTGCACCTACTGCTCCAGTCAGCATGTCATACATTAATGCTCCCAGACTCCACCAATCCACAGCACGATTGTGGCCACTTCTCATCAAGATTTCAGGGGCCCTACAACAAGAAAAACAATATACCCCAAAAATGCATCCATTTACATATCATCTGAATAAGTTTCTAAAACAAAATTATGAAGCCAAATGATGCTACAGAAAATTTAGCACACTATTACTTAAACCAGGTAAAAGATAGCTATTACCCCCAAACCAGTTATATTTCTTTCAACACGCAGCTCACATGTATTCTATTGTTCCACAAAATGTGTGTGTGACTGTTCCATCATGAATAGATTCTTTGCATAGTCCAAAGTCTGTTAGTTTCACATGACCTGCAAATGAAAGGTTATAGCATGGTTATTCTGAGAAATCTAAGGTTTAGATGGTGTTTAAACATACAAGATAATAATCTATCCTTCCATTTAATTTTTTCTGCTTTCATTTTTTGAAGTTATCAAGAACTACCGAAGTGCCCTCCATAAAATAGGATGTTATCTCTAAGGTTAGGGCAGATTCATCTTTTACCAATGATAATATCTATCTAGAAAGGGGGAGGGGAGATAAAAGCGCGAAACGGCTTGTCTAAGGTACTAGTTTCACCTATATCTGGAATCCTCTACCATCCTGAGAAAGTAATTTCTGGGAAAACTTGGTGAAGCCTGGTTTAAACACACCAACCTAATAAAGACATTCTGCATCTTTTAAACAAAGGTATGAACCCATACTTCAAATATATGTAGCTTTTATTACTGTGACTTGATAACTTTTAAAATGGTCTCAAAAAGTCACAATAACAAATTAAATTACTCTGCCAATATACTACCCGTTCAGAAAAAGAAATAAAATTGCTACATGCCATGGGACCATCATCTCAGTTCAGGCAAGTGATAAACTCACACCTTACAAAGAATATTTCAATTCAAGTTCAGCTTTACTGGACTGTCACTAGATATCCAGTGGTTCAATAATCCCAAAGACCCTATCATTCCAGGTTTATTTCAGAAAAAATAAAAGGCAATGGCCTGTTGATTCAAATGTAAATGTGTATTTTACTCTGACACAGAAGTATGACCTTTCTTTTCACAGAACCACCTGACACACTCAAGCTTATGAATCAAAAAAGTTAACTAGTCACTTCCCTATTCTATCCTTTGCTTTATAATTCAGAATCAGTATCCATGTGTGCAGAACTGGGAGGGAGGGAAATACATATTCCCATGTTGTACTTGGTTAAATATAGTATATCTCCATTAAAAAAACAAAATAAAGAAAAAAGAAAAGGTACTGGTGTGGCTCAGTTGGTTAGAGCATCATCTCATAACCAAAGGCCATAGGTTCGATTCCAGTCAGAACACATGCCCAGGTTTCAGGTCTAATCTCCAGTTAGAGTGTGTATGGGAGGCAACGGACCAATATTTCTCTTTCTATCTCTTCTTCTCTCTCTCTCTGAAAATTGGGGGGCAAGGGGGAAAGAAGAGGGGAGCACAATTTGAAACATTTATACAGGCATCAGTTGTCCACACACCATTTTCTGCCTAAGGATTTAAAACTGTTAACTACTTTGTGCATCACTTTGTAGACATCTAAGGATCAGCAGCCCCCTGGATATCCTGGTTAGCTGGTTACTCCTTTGGAGTATGAGTGAACTGAACTGCCAAGTCTACCCAGCCCAGATTACTCTCACATAAACTAAACTGTCTGCAGCAGCATGTGGTTATAATCAAGGCCTTATAGCTATACAGAATATTAATATCTGATTTTTGTGGGTTTTTTTATTACAACTGAACAGCAAGAAAAACCTGATGTCTACTAAGTATTTTATTTACAAAGCTACATCAATTATTTTGGTTCAGTTCTAAGCCTGTCCTTTTTTATAGCATTAATAAAAATTATCATATAAAAGTACTGCTTCTAATAATTATGTATTTTCACCATTAAAGAAAACCCAAAATGTAATGTTAGATTCATTTTCTAATTTAAGGAATAAACTAAAATTTGTGTTTGGACTGGCTTTAGCACACCACATTTTATGTAAGGATTTTTAAAAAATGATAAGCTATAAAAAGTAAGAATTTAAAAAAAAGTAGTATAGCCGAAACTGGTTTGGCTCAGTGGTGGAGCGTCAGTCTGCGGACTGAAGGGTCCCAGGTTCGATTTCGGTCAAGGGCATGTACCTGGGTTGCGGGCACATCCCCAGTGGGGGGTGTGCAGGAGGCAGCTGATCAATGATTCTCTCTCATCGATGTTTCCAACTCTCTATTCCTCTCTCTTCCTCTCTGTAAAAAAAAAAAATCAATAAAATATTTTTTTTTTAAAATGTAGTATAGTGACCAGTTATCCTCAACTCCCTTTAACCTCATCAACCACAAATACCTAAATATTTAAATCTCAGCAAGTATCATGATGTCATTTAAGTTCTGAGGGAAGAATGTATATAATAATAGACATGTGAATATGGGGCTTTGAAAACCACCATGACCTGTGTGGGAGGATTTTAGGATGGTTATTTACTATAGAATTGTTTACAGTATATCTCCACCTTGGTGATTAAGCATGATATTCTCCGGCTTCAGGTCTCTGTAGATGATCCCCTTTTGATGTAAATGCCCCAAAGCCATGGAAATTTCTGCCAAGTAAAAGCTGGAAACAAAAGCGATTTAATAAAAATTAAAAAGAGTAATCTATTCAAAGCAGTTTTATGTATGGAGCAAAATACCTTGGAAGAAATAGACATGCACCAAAGACCAAATTAGTGGCAGGAGGAATATTAGGGAAAGAGATGGCATAAGATGCTGCCAAAAGGCATGAAGACATGTTTCACTTTTTTGTGAAACTATAAAATATTTTATTTCATCATTAGAACATATTGCTAAAATTGCAAAGAAGTCCAGAATATGCCAAACTGTTACTGGTCAATGTTTTGTTCTGTCTGTGTAGGAACTAGGTCAATAGTCATACAGATCAAAACAAATTTCTCCCACCCACCCCCAATTTTAAAATCCCATAGGAAATAAGAATTTTGTTATTCTCAAAGAGCAAATCTTAGTTTGAGAAGGTACCTTATATATAACCTGATTCTTAGAAGCCCATTCATCCCTTTCTTAATAAAGCTGCATTATTTATACGCAGTACATGCCCACAGTATCTGCCCACCCTCTTGCCAGACAGCCCACAACTATAAACTGTGTGACACTCAAATTTATCTACCTCAAAAGAATAAAGGGCTGAGTCAACCCTGTCTGGATTCGAAAAGCACAAGGCACTGCAATACTGGCTGCATAACAATGTTGCAATCCTGCAGATTACTCCAGGATGGAGAGGGTGTGTCCTAGAGGACTGAGGCAGTTTCACAGCCAGCACGACCCCAAACAGCCTCCAACATGGCTCAGAGAGCCTCCTCCAAAAAAGGGCACTTCATCCCTAAGGCTCTTAAATGCAGCTTCTGTGTTAGAAAAGGCCTGAAATTAAACAATGGAATGCAGTTTGGTAATTAAGGTAAAAAAAACATTTAAGTGTTTTCTATTCAATTACTGTGTAGGATCAACTGATTTATTGTTACCCAGTACTATCATTTCACAAAAGAATGTGTACAGAAGAAATAGGAAGGCAGACCCCCATCCTGGCCATAGAATCAATCCACAGATGATATGTGCAGGCTTAACACCTGCCTAAGACTGCCCCTTGGAAACTGGAAAGTCTTTAAAAAAAAAAAAAGGTGGTGATTGCTGATACTTTCCATTCTTCCACACATAAAATTTCACTGGAAAATCAAACTCACCCACAACCAAGGCAGGCAGCTTACCAATTCAAGGAAAGAAAGCCCCAGTGAGAATGGTTCTGTTAGGAACTGGTGTGAAGAGCGTTGCACCCAAGGCCTGGAGGCAAAGGAATGATGTGACCTCCAAAAGCTGCCCAGTCCCACAGTTGCTTCTCCCCCTTTAAGTCCTAAGTGACTGAATGGCTCCCAAACAATTTATTGAGTCATTTGGCTGCCCACAGTGGGAATAAGGCTTTGCTTTAACATTACCTGACTCCATCCAACCATAAAAATTTCACTTACCAGGCTGTGTCTTCCATAAATATTCCCTCTCTTTCTAACTGCATAAATAATTCTCCTCCTGTAAAGAAACAAAAAAGACATTAGAAATATAACAATCTTTATTTCCAACCCAGTTCTAATGAGAGGGTCTGTGCTTTCCTTTTAACCATAATTAAAAGACATCGGCTCCTTAAAAATAAAAAACAGATTCTAAAAATTATAGTTTTAAAACTAAGACCTCAGGATCCTATTTTTAACAGTGTTCCCACTCTTATGTGAAATATTAAGTTTTGGAATTCTAGGTTTTATATCTATGAACTTAAAATTTTTTATAGATTCCAGACTTGAGTTTAAAAAAATCTTGATTAAAGCTTCTCTAACATTTTACCTGTAAGTGAATAAATGTTAGTATATAATTAAAACCATCTTTGCAAAGTTAGCAAATGCCCATAGCCTCATAACTTAAACTGTAAAAGTACCTGGCAGCAGCTTTCTAAAAAGCATGGCACGATTTGAGTATCAAAATAAGTGATAATGAAAGGTTATAGCCCACTGAATAATCTTAGAATCCATGAGTCCACAGTGATATAAATCAACAGATAAATAAGTCTTAATTTTTTCAATGGAGGGGACAGGAAAGCTCATCATTACAGCTGAATGCCAAATAACAAATAAAGTAGACACGATGGCATAAGAAGTCACTTGACAACCATCAGAGTTAACTGTTTTAGGCAAGAATCAATGGATGCTAAAACCATATGTGAAAAGTTTGATGAGATGAGATATTTAAGTAACCTCAAAATATCTTTTCATGATATTTATTAAATACAAAGGGAAAACCTCTACAGGATAAAAACTGGCAGACACCACTTTATACATGTGATCAAAGTTAACATCAACAGTAATGGGACAAAGATATATATATATATCATGTACCTCCTGATCTGATGCATGAAGAAGGAAACAGTGTCACTTGGGTGGTACTCCCCAAAATGCATAACCTGAAACTAATCCTGAGGAAACATCAGATAAGCACAAATTGATGGAGTCTATAAAATAACTGGCCTGTACTTGTTAAAAATGCCAAGGTCATGAGAGACAAAGAAGACTGAGGAACTGTTCCAGATTAAAGAAAACTGAAATATTACTGTATCAATGTCAATCTCCTATTTTTAATAATTTTAGTATAGTTATGTAGGATACTATCATTGATTTTAGAAAATATACACTAAAGTATTTAGGGGCAAAGGGAAATCATGACAAAAACACTCTCTTAAATAGTTCAGAGAAGAACTATGTATATATCTATTCATGTGTGTATATACACATATATACACACACATATATACATATACATAAAGAGAAAGAAAAATACACGGATGAAACAAAACATTGTGGTAAAATGAAAATACTTGGGGAATCTAAGTGAAGGGTATGTGGGAATTGTACTATTCTTGTAAATTTTTGTGTAAATTTGAAATTATGTCAAAATTAAGTTACAGGAGAAAACTGGCAAATGTCACAAAAAAAGTTACTAAATTCTAAAGCTTTCTGCTCCATGTTACATGCTACTGGGAAATCTCTATTTTTTAGAAAACTCAAATGTGTTTGTTTGCTGTGAGCTAGAAATGATATGTGGAGCAAATAGTTCCTAGGAGGTGGTAAACCCTTGAAAATGTGGGTAATTTCTAATCTAAACGCATATTTTATTAATAAGACTACAGTAACCCAAAATACTTGTTTTAAGACAAATTTCCAAAAATATTCAATATCTTAATACTATTAGTATTTTCCACTTCAGTTTAGAAAGAAATACTTTAATGATTTATTTGAGTTATAATATCTTATCCAATTATAGTATATTACCCAGTCAATTTGATGGGCACTATTTTTTCCCCCAATATATTTTATTGATTTTTTACAGAGAGGAAGGGAGAGAGATAGAGAGCTAGAAACGTCAATGAGAGAGAAACATCGACCAGCTGCCTCCTGCACACCCTCTATCGGGGATGTGCCCGCAACCAATGTACATGCCCTTGACCGGAATCGAACCAGGGACCATTCAGTCCGCAGACCGATGCTCTACCACTGAGCCAAACCGGCTCCGGCTTGATGGGCACTATTAATTAGGAATTTGTTATTTTGTTAAGTAACTGGTTACAAAGGAATTAAGATAAAATTTTACAGAAGGGAGGAAAAAAACTTATTCTTTAAAGTTTCCTTCATATTTGTCTGCAAAAAGAAATACTTGGTCACATCTGAATTCTTTATGGCAATGTATTCATCAATTTTAAGAGCTATTTGATCACATTAGGAAAAAACATTTTTTCCATTGAAAAATTATGTTTTGACCCAGTTTCTGGAGCAAACACAATAATTACACCAAACTGTGTGTACTGACCGCTGAGATACTCAAGGATGAGGTAGAGTTTTCCACCGGTCTGAAAGGCATAAATTAAATCCACAATGAAGGGATGCTTTACTTCCTCCAGAATATTCCGTTCTGCTTTTGTATGAGCTGTATCTTTAGCATTTCTTACTATCATTGCCTAAAGGAAAAGACATGATCTATAAGAACAAAACAGTAGACACTTGATTCTATAGTAACTGGAAAATCTAATTTGTGCTTTTCTTGCCAATATGAAACTATTAATTGTAATTACCACTAAAAATTGTGATAGGTGTAAATGGAAGACATGTACTTCATATATATATATCTGTACTGTTCGGATTTTTTGAAGTGAACATGTATATGCAAACCTAAAGATACTTCTTTAAAAATGTAAAAAGATTAAGTTTATTCAGATATTCATTAACTGTTGAATGTCTACTATGCTCCAGGCTCTGTAACAAGAAAGCAGAACTAATGGAAGGAGTCTCTAGATCACAGGAGCTCAAAGTCTCAGGGAAGAGAGATAAGTCAACAGAGGTAAGCATAAGATGTTATGGGTCAACAAGGAAACGGCACTTGACTTGGAGAAGTCTTCCTTGAGGTGGTGGTACCTAAGCTATATCATGAAAAGTTACTAAGACAAAATGTGGAGGACATAAAAAAGCATTCCCAGTGCAAAAGAGGCTTGACAAGACAAGATGTGTCTAGCAACTCTATAAGTAGTTCAGTATGGTTAGAAGAAGTTAGAGATTAGGTGGAAGATGTAGGTGGAGGCCAGGAAATGGAAAGCCTGGGCATCTAAGCAAAGACGCTTGAATCTTATCTGAGAGGCAGAGGAGAAATGTTGAGGTAAGGGAAATGAAAAGCACTTGCCTTTCAGAAAGATAGTTCTAGTAACAATGTTGAGTTCTACAGGAGAAATGAAATGAGAGCTGTTAGGAGGCCAGTACAGTAAACTAAGCAAGAACTCAGACCTGTAACTAAGAAAACAAAAGTTAAAAATTTTTTTTAAAAAGGGTAAAATACATTATTAGCATTTGCTGACTATCTAGCTATGAGAAGAAATCATGATATTGTGGTTTCTATTTAAGTAATAGGATAATGGTGTCATTTATCAGGTCTAGTAATAATTAATGTCGTTTTCTAATACTTTTTTTAAAATCAAATTTATTTAAACAATACAACAAAATTTAATCAACAATATAGTTGCCGTTGTTTTCTACTACTTGTGCCCAACACTCAGGAAGCATTTTAATCCCTCTGTTGTAAAATTCTTGTGATTTTGATGCAAAAAATTCGGTCAATGCATTTTTGAGGCATTCTTCATTATTAAATTTTTTTCCAAGAAGAAAGTTTTGCAAAGAACGAAACAAATGGTAATCGGAAGGGGCAATATCAGGAGAATATGCAGGTTGAGGGAGAACTTCCCATTCCAACTGGCGCAGTTTTTCAACAGTGATTCTTGCAGAATGCGGTCATGCGTTATCGTGGTGAAGAATTACGCCCTTCCAATTAATCAGCACGGGTTCTTTTTCTCTTAAAGCTTGGGCTAACCTTTCCAATTGGGCACTATACACTGCACTTGTAATGGTTTGGTTAGATGGTAAAAGTTCATAATGAAGAATTCCTTTAAAATTCCACCAAACACACAACAACACTTTTTTCGCATGCAAGCCAGGTTTTGGCGTGGGCTGCGGAGCCTCATTTTTGTCCAACCATTGAGGCTGCCTTTTCAAATTAACATACAGCACCCATTGTTCATCTCTGGTAACAATTTGCTCTAAAAACGGCAAACGGTTTTGACGAGAGAGGAGCGAAATGCAAATTGTGACTCTTTGATTATGGTTGTTGTCGGTCAACTCATGAGGAACCCATTTTCCAAACTTTTGGACTTTGCCAAGTGCACGCAATTGATTGGAAATTGTTTTCTGTGAACAATTTAAAGTTGTCGCAAGCTCTTGTTGAGTAATTTGAGGATTTTGCACCAAAAGAGCTTGAAGAGCTTCTTGATCAAAATTGGACACACAGCCTCGACCACTCTTGTCATCTAACAAAAAATTTCCCTCGCGAAATTTCTCAAACCAACGCTGGCATTTTCTGGCGCTAACTGCATCTTGACCAAGAGCACTACAGATGTTTTTTGCAGCCTCACTTGCTTTTCTTCCTAATTGGAACTCGTAAAGCATGCAGTGCCGAATATGCTCTTCATCCGCCATCTTCTTAGCCCTAGTTTTGCAACAAAAACCAAGCCAAACACAAACTTTTTCAAGCAAAACTTGTTAATTGCTGCCGGGACCGGTTTGGCTCAATGGATAGAGCGTCGGCTTGGGGACTGAGGGGTCCCGGGTTCGATTCCGGTCAGGGGCATGTGCCTTGGTTGCGGGCATATCCCCGGTAGGGGGTGTGCAAGAGGCAGCCGATTGATGACTCTCTCTCATCGATGTTTCTAACTCTCTATCTCTCTCCCTTCCTCTCTGTACAAAATCAATAAAATATATTAAAAAAAAAAAAAAACTTGTTAATTGCACTTCACACGTTCTATAGATACCACGTGTTTGAAGGTTATGTCAATACAAGTCAACGCCAAGCAAGATTTTAAACGAACGTTTAAAAACGACATTAATTATTACTAGACCCAATAGTAATGGGGAATGGAAGGGAAGAAAAAAGTTTGGGGGGGAAATAATGCATTGTTTTGGATATGTTAAGTCTAAGTTCTAGGACTAAGTTCTGGTGCACCTCCAGCAACATGAAAAAGCATGGACATAAGGTTATTAGTTGCAATATTATTTGTACAAGTGAAACATTAGAAACAAACTAAAAGCCCGTGCATAAAATATTGGCTGAAAACCTATGGACTAGTCACACACTGAGAAAAAAGCTGTTCAAAGAATGGAAACATCTCTATGACAGTAAGGTGCAAAAGAGCCTATTTGGCATGACAGTTCACACAGTTTGCTACCATTCTGTGTAAGAAAGGGGAAATAAGAATATATATGTATCTGCTTATACCTGCAATTATAAAACACAACTAAGATAAACCAAAGCTAATGACAACAGAAAGGCAGGAAAGGAAATGAGATATGCTTTCTGAGTAATGCCTTATGGTTTTCCCATTCATTTTTTTTCTGACCTAAATCAAATATTACTATGATTATAAAATGGAGATTATGAATTCTGAACTATGTTAATAATTTTATACATTTAACAAATAAAATTAAATCAACAAGGATTGTGGAGGGAAATAAAAGTGAATATAACAGAAATACATATACTTAATTAAATGTTACATTAAAAAGCTTATCACACCCTCTCTCTCCCCCATTTTTTTGGGGAGGCGATCTAATTTTTCGTGGATTTGTTTCGACAAGGGGGGGAAAAAACTTACCACAGTAGATAAAAAGATATTTAAGTGATATGTTATACATATATATATCCTGTTTCCCTGAAAATAAGAAAGTGTCTTATATTAATTTTTGCTCCCAAAGATGCACTAGGTCTTATTTTCAGGGGATATCTTATTTTTCCATGAAGAAGAATACGGTACACATTTATTGTTAAATGAAAATAAAGGAAATTTATTACCTGTATACGGTACGGTAATACGGTAGTTGTCAACACAAACCAGACAAACAATCCTACAGTATCAAGAATTTACTCATTTATTCAATGACAATCAAGTCATCATCTTCTGGAACATCATCATAACAATCCAATTCCTGAATTTCCTGGTGAATTTCTTGTGACTCCATTTCTTTCAGAATCAGTGGACCAAATCTCTCATGTTTAGCAATAGCACTGTCTTTAAATGTGTACTTCTTGTCAAGGTAGCCTGCTCGCAGTGCATTTGCAATGCAACTGTCAGTGATTTTCTCCCATGAATTCTTCACCCAAGTCACAACTTCTTGCAGGTTAGGTTTCACAAAGTTTCTGAGACAAAGCCTAGGGGGGCCTTATTTTTTGGAGGATGCCTTATATTTCACTCAGAAGGAAACCTGTAAGTAGGTCTTATTTCCTTTTTCAATTACAGTTTACATTCAGTATTATTTTGTATTAGTTTCAGGTGTATAGCATAGTGGTTACACAATCATATACTTTATGAAGTGTTCTTGATATTTCCATTACCGACCTGGCATCATACATAAGTTATTACAGTTGGTCCAAAGGTAGTGGGTTATTGTTAAGCTGATTAACAGTTATTACAATATTATTTATTATATATTTCCTATGCTGTACTTAAGAAATCTTAAACCATATTTAGTGGGTTTGTATTTGTTTATAGTATTGGCATTCTCAAACTATTATGCATATATCATAATATAGCAAATGAGTAAATTTATTGATACCATGAGGCATCTCACTATGGAAAACCAGAAATGTAAATATGGAATTAGGGCAAAAGAACCCAATGAAATTAGACTGAAATTAGGGATATCATTATGAAGCCATGATTTAAAACAATTAACCAATGTCATCCCAATAAATTCAATATCCTTGGATAAGGATTAAAATAAACAAACAAAAATTAGAAGGAAGAAACTCAAAGTGAGCATACATAGTCATCTTAGCTAGGGATTTAGGAATTAAAACCCTGGGCTTAACCCTAGCAACCTCTTCTCTTACATTATTTTTCCTGTGAGCTTTCATGCACACCAAAAAAAGTTTGGGACAGTATCTGGTTTTCTAGCTAGGGTTGGGGAAAGGAAAACCCTGAAAGAGGGGAGGAGTTGTAGTTAAGTGAAGGGAGAGGCAAGTAAGTTAGGTCTTAGATGCCTGGGCCCAAAAAGGAAGCCTGACATTTAGCAGTAATTAAATCTATGGATTTCCCAATACTCCACACCCACCCACCAAAGTGAGGGGAAAAACAACCTCTTCTTTTCATTACAGATACAAGGGCCAGAAACATAACTCACGAAAGATATAATTATGACTAATTATGGTCAGTCCTGATGACTAGACATGAATAAGCAACATGTCAAAAGGAATGAATTACTCTAAGAATTTTGACCAGAATTTCTTTTAACATTCCTAGAACAAGTATTATTATACTGTCTTCAATTCTACACCTAATATGGTTTACAGATTTTTTTTTTTTAAATCATTCATCTCAAATTATTTTAACGGGAAAGCCAGACAGCAGATTAGACATGACTTGCTTATGTAGAAACTGATGTTTTGAATACCTAAATTGCTTCTTAAAAAAATCACCAACAATCACCAATACTATGTGGCCATAGTATGTTCCTCAGCTTTTAAGTTTAAGAAGTTATTTATATCTTAAGTGAAAATCAAGAAAGTAAAAACCAAAGCATTAAAAACCATAATTGCCCTGGCCAATTTGCTCAGTAGATAGAGCACTGACCCGCAGACTGAAAAGTCCCGGGTTCGATTCCAGCCAAGGGCATGAATCTTGGTTGCAGGCTTGATCCCTGGCCCTTGCAGGAGACAACCAATTGAAGTGTATCTCTCATCATTGATGTTTCTATCTCTCTCCCTCTCCTTCTTCTCTGAAATCAATTAAAAAACAACAAAAATATGTACTTTTTTCAAAAAATTTTAGTGATCTTTTAATAGTTTTCAAGTAACCCTTGCTTTAAGACAATGTGATCTTTTCAGAAATTAATCCCAAACAAAAAGAAGAAGAAACCAAACACACATAATCTATCTTCAATAAAACTAGGAAACATAAGTAACTCTATACCTCAAAAAAAGGAGGAAAGGGGATAACGCAATAGTACATGATTTAGTAGAGTGTGATCAAACCTAAATGCCTGCCCAAGAGGAATAACTCAAAATAAGTTCATTCCATTGACAGAAACCTAGCAGGGTTCAAAAATTAGAGGCAAAAATAAAAAGAAAGTGGGGGGAAAAATCAGTCATCAGGGCCTGCAGCAGGCAGAAGATGGAGGACGGAGGACTAAAAACAGGAAGATTATCTGAAAGTCTGTGTAAGGAACAGATACACCAACAAGGTTCCCATCCTACACTAACCAGCCAGGGAACTACTCACTCAGAGGTGTACTTTCCAGAAAAAATAGAGTGAAGGATTAGTAAGACTGAGTGCTAAAGTAAAAACTACTTCAGTGCAAGTCTTAGTGTGGAAATGTGAGATCTCCATCTCCTCTCTCTCGTCTAGCTCCAGAATGCTTTTTGTAGGCAAAAGAATAGAGGATCTTTCTCAGCACCAATTGATCATTACCAATGGATCTACAGACACTGATACTGGGAGATATAGGACCCAGGAAACAAAGAATCCAACACCGAAGGAGTTAAGAGAATTCCAAGAATTATGGTAAAGTCCAATAATGACAATTATGCCTAGAACTGATAGATTATCTAATAAGCTGGACCACAGAATATTAGCCTCAAAGATGCTTTACAGTAGGGGTGTCGAACTCAATCAGAGAAGGGGCCAAAATCTAAAATCCAGCCTAAATCACGGGCCGAATGGTTTACTGAACAGTCATAAACTGTCATTGTGATGGAAACGCAGCGGAGTGCAGTGATGACAGCGCGGTGCGGGCCACATTGCAAGGCCTGGTGGGACGGATTTGGCCCGCGGGCCTTGTGTTTGACACATGTGCTTTACAGAGTTGTTGGAAGGTATGGGAAAACAATAGTAGATTCAATGAAAGTGAAGCAAAATGAGAGGGCAGGGTAAAGGGAGGATGGGGTTAAAAAAAAAAAAAGTAAAATGGGAATTCTGTACATAATTCTAAAGTGGATGCATTCAATGATAGCAGGATATGCTAAATTACTTAGAAATATGTAGACCAGAACAAAGAGATAAAAGAGTTATATCAGAGAATTGAAAGAATTTTCCTTTCTACCCTCACCAAATAGAAAATAGTTATAATAATAATCAAACATATCTCATATTCTAAGAGGACTTACAATTGTGTAAGAAATATTTACTGACTGAGAATTTTAAAGCCAAAATGTGGATTTTATAGTAATTAAGATTATAGTTTGGGGGAAGAGGAGGGAAGGTATTACCTTTTTAAGCACCTTCATGGCAAATATTTTTCCAGTATTTGCTCCTGTTACTTTTCGTACTTGAAAAACCTGTATAAAAAAATAAAAGTGTTTGGGTGTTATTAAAGGCTAAACTATGCTAGCCACATTCCCTTAATTCCCATTTATAAGAAAAAAATTATACAGTCGTTTATATCCTTATAAAAACTAGTACCAACAAGTTCTGTGCTTAGTGAAATCTGTTCCACAAAATAGGACCTTCCTATTTGGTCTGCTGATATCAGGTGGCAAAGTTGGGCAATGATCATCTAATGATGAGCCTTCCCTATTTATACATAAAATACAAGTTTGCTTAAAAAGCTATAATCAGGGTTCCCAGAAGCATAATACCAAACTTAAAAAATTATAAAATATTTCATAAAATTCCTACAAGAATGCCACTGCTCTTGCTCCACATCAAACAACTTAATAAGAATTGACAGGAATTACTGTTTACCTATCCCTTAAAATAGCTGGCTATAAAACATTTTCATGTAACAGCTAAAATATGAGATTCAAAGTGCATGCGTTACATATTCAAGATGGTTAGAACATATTAGAATGTATATTTAAACCTAAGAATATAACACAAAGTCATGCTTTATAAAAATTAACTCTACACAATAGCATAATCAGTTCTCAAGCTTTGATAGAGAATGGCTAGGTATAAACTGCCTTGGACAGAACACACAAAAATGAGATCTTAAATTAGAAAGCCTTGAGCAAAATCTATGAAGTTCTGTTCATTTTTCTTGTCCCTTCTTATATACTTCAACTTCTCTAACTTTTGCTCTAGATTAGGGGTGGGGAACATCCAGTCTGCAGACCATATATGATCTAGCCCTGCCAAGGCATTAGGGATGAGCTAACTGTTTGACCGAATATAACGGGATGATTTTAAGTTGATAATTTTGTATGGCCCACAAATGATGTTATAAATATCCACATGGCACTTGGCAGATACTACAAATCAAAGAAAACCAATTCAGATTAACAGACAACAGTAACAGATACTGTACCAAGGCCTCTTGAAAGTAAGGAGTGATTTGCTTATTTTTTAAGAGAATACCTACAGAGAGTACCATTTAAAACCAAAGGAAGAAAAGAATCCTCTAATAGATTTTGCCTGGCATAGTTGTCTATTTAAATTATGTGCCAAGCTTTTACATGTGTGTTGGTAGGAAAACTACTGTACATCCCTCAAATAATACAGGGTTAAGTGATTATTTCCTTTGCTGATAGCTAGTAAACGAAGATTAAAGAGGAATACTGGAACAAAGACTGAAGAGGACTGCTGAAAAGAGGGTATAAAAAAATCAACCCAAGACAGACAACACCTCTCATTTCAAAAACACTTCCTACCTTTCCATAGCCCCCTTTACCAAGTACCCGAAGTAGCTCAAAACATTCTGGTCTGATTTTTTCTGGCCCTCTGTTCACACTAGTTTCTGAGATTTCAAATTTCTCACAATGTTCCATGCCACTGGGGAGAAAAGCAAAACCAAAAGTAAATTTGCAAAAAGTTAAATTACTTTCAGCATATTGTTAGAAAGAGAAAGAGAAATGTAATCCAATTTAGTAAAAGGGGAAAATACATGATAGTAAATTTAGTTTCTGTGTTTCTAAGTAAACATGATTCAATGACATGGTAGGTCAAGATTAGGGTGGCTTGGTAAATTGCTTACTTATCTGCTAGTTTACAAAATGTGCTGGCGAGTATTTTCACAAGCATCAAGCACCCCCAAACTAAGATAAATTAGAACAAGTTTATCAAGCTGACAAAAGAAAAGTCTTCCAGTTATTCAAATTTAGTTCATTCAAAATGTCTATTAAGGTCAGGCATAATCCAACTTCATTTGGAAGCTTCAGCAGAAAACCTAGGAACATTCTAAAAATACCAGTTAGTTCAAGTCTTTATGCTACATAAATTCTTGCTAATGCACTATAGCTACACATCTTTTCATATCTTATATGAACATGATTTAAAGACTCCTCAGTTTCCCCTCAAGCCAAGGGTTAGGGTATACAGCAGATTAATCACCATGCCACTCCCCTAATGGAGCGTGCCTAAAATGACTTTAGATTGCACAAATCTAGTTTGAAGGGTGTATTATAAGCAAAACAAGAACCATTTGACTTTTGGTGGCATTTCTCATAATTTTATTTTTCAGTAAGAAAAAGTGTTTCTCTATATTAAACTCAGACTCATATTCAATATACATTGAATATGAATGATTATCTTTTTCTCAAAATCCATACATAATCTCAAAATCTTGGATATGTTACAATACTAATGCCAAACTCAATAAGTTAAGTCTATATATGAGACTAGCTATTTAAGAACAGGTCGCAGGAATCACGTGATGGCTATGAACTAAAGCCGATAAACCTACTTGTAAGAAAGACAGAACAATGAAATATTTTTATATAAACTTACAGTTCATATGGTCCAACTCCCCCATGGTCCATGCTTTCATTTAACTGACCCTGAAAAATATGTTAAAAGTTTTAAAGATAAATTATCTCATACACATAAAATAAAAATATTTAATGCTTCATCCCATTACTGAAGGAGAATAAATGAAATAAACCTGACTAAAAATTCTTTATACTTTAATGGCAAATGTGGAGTAGGGGTGGCTTGATAAATGCTTACTTATCTACTTATTTACATTAAATTCTCTAAACTTTAATGGCAAATGATATACAAAAAATATTTGTAATTTAAATGACAATTAAGATACAGATGCTACTCATCAATGATCTACCAATAAAACCAGGTAATTTTTCTTTCAAAAATTACGTATATTTTGTGGAGCCCTAGCTGGTTTGGCTCAGTGGACAGAGTATAGGGCTAGGGACTGAAAGGTCCCGGGTTTGATTGCAGTAAAGGGTACATGCCAGAGTTGCAGGCTTGATCCCCAGTGGGGGGCATGCAAGAGGCAGCTGATCAATGATTCTCTCACATGAATGATGTTTCGATCTCTCTCTCCCTCTTCCTTCCTCTCTGAAATAAAATAAAAAAAAATTTTAATTAGATATATTTTGTGTATAATGAAACTGAAGGTACTACATTCTAAGTCTGTGTTACTAAATCCAATGTTTTATGCAAAGTGCTATTCTGATACTCAAGACTAAGATAATTCTGAGACAAAACCTCTGTAATTACAACCTAACTAAGCCTAAGGGAACCCCAGCCAATTGAAAATACTGCAGTGTACAATGTGGCTGATCAAATCAAAATAATTAAACAACACTCTCAAATTGTTAGGAGTCATGCTGGCCAAACATTTAATTCTGATCATAAATAAGTGCAAAATTTAGTTAACCTTCTATACACTAGCAATGAATGATTCAAAAATAAAATTAAGGTACCTCCATTCACAATAGTATCAAAAGAATAAAATATTTAAAATTTAACAAAATAAGTATAAGACTTACACACTGGATAACTATAAAATATAATATTACTGAAAGAAATTTTAAAAAGACTTAAATCAAAAGACATTCCATATTCATGGATCAGATGGCTTAATATTGTTAAGATGGCAATAATACCCAAATTAGCCTATAAATTCAACTCAATCTTATCCAAATCCTAGGTTCCTTTCTTGCAAATGTTGATAAGCTGATCCTAAAATGCACACAAAAAAAGCAAAGTAACCAAAACAGGCAAAACAATTTTGAAAAAAAAGAACAAAGTTGGAGGATGAACACTTCCTGATTTCAAAATGTACTACAAAGCAGCAGCAATCAAGAGGGTATGGTCGCCCAGACCAGTTTGGCTCAGATAGAGCGTTGGCCTGCGGAATGAAAGGTCCCGGGTTCGATTCCGGTCAAAAGCATGTACCTTGGTTGCGGGCACATCCCCGGTAGGGGGTGTGCAAGAGGCAGCTGATCGATGATTCTCTCTCATCGATGTTTCTGACTCTCTATCCCTCTCTCTTCCTCTCTGTGAAAAATCAATAAAATATATTTAAAAAAAAAAAAAAGAGAGAGAGAGTTTGGTAATGGCATATCACAGACATACAAGTCAATTAAACAGAACTGAGAGCCCAGAAATAAATCCTGACATTTACGGTCAACTGATTTTTTACAGAGGCCAAGAAAATTCAATGCGGAAAAAAGAAGTCTTTCAATAAATGATGCTGGGGCAATTGGATAACCATAAGCAAAAATTACTTTTGACCCCTACTCCACAAGATACAAAAAAACTAACTAAAAATAGATCACAGACCTAAATGTAAGAGTTAAAACTATAAAATTCTTAGAAGAAACCTAGGAGAAAGTAAATTTTCATGATCTTTGGGTAATGACTTTTTAAAATATTTAAAATCAATTTTATTGATTTTTTTTACAGAGGGGAAGGAAGAGGGAGAGTTAGAAACATTGATCAGAGAGAAATATCAATCAACTGCCTCCTGCACACCTCGTACTGGAGATGTGCCCGCAACCAAGGTACATGCCCTTAAGCGGAATCCAACTCTGCAGTCTACAGGCCAAAGCTTTATCCACTGAGCCAAACAGGTTAGGGTAATGATTTCTTAAAGACACATCTCCAAAAGGTAGAGTAATTAAAGAAAAAATAAATAAAATATTTATTCAAAATGTAAAACTCTTGTATTTCAAAAAGATGCTATCAAGAAAATGGAGCCTGGCTGTGTGGCTCAGGTGGCCACATGGTCAGGAGTCGCCAGATTCCTGGTCAGGGCGCAGGCCCGGGCTGCAGTTCTAATCCTAATCTTCAGAAAGGGGCATGCAGGAGCAACCGCTGGGAGTTTTTCACATACATGTTTCTGTTTCTCTCAAATCAATAAAAACACATTTTAAGGGGAGGGGAAGAGGAAAAAAACAAAAAACCACTGAATAAGAATATACAAAGACTTTCCACAATTCAATACTAAAAATCCAGATAACCCAATTTTTAAAATATTTCTCCAAAGAAGATATAAAAATGGCCAGTAAGTACATAAAAAGATGTTTCAACATCATTAGCCATTATAAAAATGCCAACCAAAACCACACTGAGGTACTAATTCACATCCACTAATTAAAAAGACAGAAAAATATGCTAAGCAAAATAAGCCAAAGAAAGACAAGTATCATGTGATTTCACTTATATGTGGAATCTAATGAACAAAATAAACTGATAAACAAAATAGACCCAGAAACATGGAAGCATGGAATAGACTGACAAATCTGAGAGGCAAGGGTGGAGAGGGAGGACAAGAAGAGATTAACCAAAGAACTTCTATGCATATATGTACAATCCATGAACATAGACAATATGTGGTAGGCCTCAGGAGGGTGGAGGAGATCAATGGGGGGAAAGAGGAGAAAATATGTAATACTTTGAAATATAAATATAAATTTTTTAAAAATAACAAATATGACAAAAATGTAGATAAACTGGAAACCTCATACACTGCTGGCAAGTATGTAAAATCATACAACCACTTTGGAAAACAGTTAAGCAGTTTCTTCAAAAATGAAACATAGAGCTACCAGATAATCCAGCAAAACTACCCCAATTATCTATTCAAGAGAAATGAAAATATATACTCCACAAAGACTTGGGCACAAATGTTCACAGGAGCATTATTCACAATAGCCAACAATTGTAAACAACTCAAAAGAACATCAATTGGTAAACTTAAAAAATAAAATGTGGCCAAAACTGGTTTGGCTCAGTGGATAGAGCATAGGTCTGTGGACTGAAGGGTCCCAGGTTTGATTCCGGTCAAAGGCATGTACATTGGCTGCAGGCACATCCCCAGTGGGGGTTGTGCAGGAGGCAGCTGGTAGATGTTTCTCTCTCATCAATTTTTCTGACTCTATCCCTTTCTCTTCCTCTCTGTAAAAAATCAACAAAAAAAGATACACACACAAAAAAAATGATAGTATTCTTACACAATGAATGCTGAAGTGCCGAAAACAACACATTTTTAATCATAATTTGCTCATCGTGTGTACAAGTCAAGATAGCATCTAACACCTAAGATGTATATTTCATGATTAGAGTGAAGCACATGGATGGGAAAAAATATTCTTGTAGTTTCAACTTAATACAGTTTCAGGGGAGGGGCAGTGCTGGCTATAGCTAAAAGTTTTTTTTTGTTTGTTTCTGGTATCCTATTTAATAAAAGAGTAATTTGCAAATTGACTATCACTCCAACAAACAAGATGGCTTCCCCCATGTGGTCAAAGATCCTGCCTCCATGTGGACACAAGATGGCTGCCACAAAATGGCCAGCAGGGGAGCTAGCAGGCCTGAAAGGAAGGGCATCAATCAGGAGTGGTTAGGGGGTGATCAGGCTGGCAGGAAGAAGCGGTTAGGGGCAATCAGGAAGGCAAGCAGGCAAGCAATTGGGAGCCAGCAGTCCTACCTGGATTGGGCCTAAATGGGCAGTCAGACATCCCTTGCAGGATCCCAGATTGGAGAGGGTGCAGTTTAGGCTGAGGGACACACACCCCTGGCCCCATGCACTAATTTCACGCACTGGGCCTCTAGTTTCATATAATCATCTATAATGGCATCACTTTAAAGACAAAAGACTAATTTCTCTCAGCTACAATAAAACTGATTATATAATGTTTTCTTTAATGTTAGTATTACTTAATTCTAAATTAAAGACCACAAAGTAGTTAACACTGAACTATGACTTAGAAGCCACTTAGAAATATATGCCCCATAGCTGTTTCATTTCCGGAGCTGGCCAGACCAGTATTACCACTTGCATCTGAGCTTATAACTTCCTACCGTTACCTTCTGGAACAGAAATATCAAACTAACATATAACACATACTGACAACTCTCTTTCACATGAATCTCTTCATTCAAATTTTTTTTTCCTGTTGCCTTTAAACTTTCTGAGTCAATCAATGCTTTTTGTGTGTGCCACTATGACTTACAAGATAAACTATTTCAAACTAGCCCGCCAAAATGACTAAAACTTTGTAGTTTTAAATTAAATTTGCATATAAACTCAATATGCCTCAAATCCCAATGAAAAAGAGCACAGTTTACAAAAATTTAAGCAAATTGTTACAAAATCAGTAAAAGATTTTTAATCCAAATATTCATTAAATCATTTATCCACTTGCTTGGCTATTCATAGACATTTCCTTATAACATAAGATTCAGTAATTCGGATGAATTGGGAAAAGGGGGCACACTTTACCCAGAATCTTGGGTTATTTAAAAATGGGTCCTGACCAGGAAGCTCAGTTGGCTAGAGCGTATGTCAAAGTTGCAGGTTCAATCTCCTGTCAGGGCACATATAAGAGTCAACCAATGGATGCAAAAATAAGTGAAACAACAAATGTCATCCCCCCGTTCCCTCTCTTTTCAATCAATCAACAAATTTTAAAATGCTTTTGGGTAAATCCTAGAAGAAAACATAGGCAGTAAAATCTTGGGCATTTCTTGTAGTATGTCATTTTCTGATTTTTCCTTTCAGGCAAGGGAAACAAAAGAAATGGGACTA